ATATATATATATATATATATAAACATAAATTAGTATAATTTCATATATGCGATTAGTCAATATTGACGGAATAAAAATAATTTTTGGATCTAAAATTTTTTAATGTTAAAGGATGAAATTTGGTCTTAGTGATTCGATGGTGCTTTGTTTTATATTCTCAAAGTGTTTTCATAATAGAGCGATAGGAGTACATAACATCGAACGTCGAAGTCATAAAACGAATCTTCCCACCGACTAACAAATGTCAGAATAAAACAAGTTTTCTGTTTCATGTTTTTGGAAACACAAGAAAACAGAAACGTTTTCCTAACCGGGCCCAACCAACCCCTAACTGGGCCGCTCACCAGGCGGGCTGCATATATTCCCCTCCCTTCCGTCAAACAGTTCCCTCCCTCGTCTCTTGCCGCCTCGTAAAAAGGTCTCGTTCTCCGGAGACGAGAGACAGCGAGTTCGAAGTCGAAACCCTATTCCCAGTCGTATCGAGATCGGATCGCGTACGGTATAGTTCTCCCCTCGATCCCCTCCTCTTCTCCCTGAAGAAGGTGACGATTCAGGTCCCCGGGGATCTGGCGGTAAGTTAGGCCGGAGGAGGAAGGATGGGGGATTTCAACCTGGCTCTGGTGATCGTGGCGGTGGTGGTGTGCGTGATGGTTCTCCTCGTCAATGTCTACCTCCTCGTCAATTGCCAGCACCCGGACGATGTCAACCAGGCCTACTTCCCGAAGCTGGTGGTGGTTCTTGGTCTCTCGGTTGCCGCCATCTCCATTTTGATGCTTCCGGCGGACGTTGCCAATCGCCAGGCTTGTCAGCACGCTATATACAGTGGCGCTTGCACTCTCACCCTCCCCATGAAAGACCTTTGGCTGGCCGTATACGTCGCCGATGCCGTCCTTGTGTTCTTGGTCATACCGTTCGCTATGTTCTACTACGAGGGCGACCAGGACAAGTAAATCTTTCGGTTTCGTCAAGGGAAACCCTACTTTCGTTTCGTCGACTTTGACTGTGTGTTTGGATTTGGTGGTGTTGATGACTTCTTGTTGCAGGAGTATTGGGAAGAGGTTGAAGAGTGCTCTATTGTGGGTTCTGGCATCGGCTGTTGTCTGTGGACTTGTGCTTGGGATTCTTTATGGTAAGATCTTTCTACCAAATCTCTTTGCTGTTTTTGTTGTTGATAAATATATCATTTTCTTGGAAGTTAATTTTCCCGAGAAAGCGAAAATAAAACACATGATTTTATTTAAGATTGCTGTGATCTGATTAAGGTTCATGCTTTTGGTTTTTACCGATAGTTACCGATAGGCCTATAATTGCAATTTGAAGTTCAACTTAGTTGGATAGATATTAATTACTGTCTTGAAAGATTACTGTGTGTACCACTTGTTAAACTTGTTTGGTAACTAGACAAGATAGCAATTCAGCTATCATTCACTGCAGTTATTTGTTGTATGACTTTGTTCGAGAATATTGTCTCATTTAAAATAAGATATGTAGGTTGGATTTTTAAGTGGGTGATCTGAGGTTTTACATACTCTTGAAATGTCAATGTTCTTCATTCTTTGGCAGGGTGGCATCATTTAATGCTTCTGAGTCTGATATGGTATTTGATTATTTTAGTCCTCCAGAGGAGTAAATAGAGGCACATGGATATTCCAGTTACAAGCACATCATCTTTCAAGTCAAAACAGATTGTCATGCATTTTATGCTGCTTTTATATTGTCATAAAGTCTGAAAACTTCTATCTGGAAAAAGAAAGGAACTCAGAATATGTTGATTCTAGATACTGTGTTGGTTCTTGTATGTATAGCACTGTTATGCTTCCAATCAGCTGCATATCTTCGGGCAATACTGTTAAAACCAAATAAAATCTTTGAGTCAGCAGTACTAATATGATGGTTGCTCACAATTTTTCCAGTTCAATATCAGCTATTATGGTTTAACATAATATAAACATAAGATTATGAACATGATATTTAATGTATTATGTTCGTAATATCAGCTATTATGAACATAAGATCTAAGGACTTCAAATCTGAATGCACCATTCTACTTCTTCAATGCATGCCAGAAACATGGAGGTTGATATTATCAGCTATGCTACCTGCTTTTATTTTAAAAGAATAATCACAGTCGAAAAAGTGGAAAGAAAGCTAGAGTTCATTTTACACCTGAAGCTTTCCAGGCTGTAATTTTCAATTCTCAAATACCATTAGATCCATTTACGTCAACTCTGCAGTGCTGTTATATTTTTGTAAGTTTTCCAATTGACATTCCTTCATGGTATCAGGACTAGTTGGTAAAGTGGACTTTACAGTTAGGCACCTCTCTTCTTCTGCTACAAGTTTCCCCAGTTCTTGGTCAACATTCTCAAGTTCTCAACCTTGCATAGGGTCAACGAATCATCTGGTGATATTTCTTTATTTTCTTTTAGTTTACTAATGCCTGAATGGTTCATCAATATTTTTGTTATTTGTTTGGAAATATACATGACTTATATGTACTTTGTTGTATTTAATGGTGAAATTTGATTGTGCACATGTGAAGATACATAAAGCATTGTAGTTTCGAATCTGATCTTGCATGTTCTGTGAAGCATATTCTAAGGTCCCATAGTTTTCTATTGGGTTGCAACTGGTTAAGAAGACTTGAATCAAATTGATAACCTTTTTAGAATTGATCTGGACTATTGTCCTATCAGTTTTTTAAGTGTGGTTATTGCTAATTCAAAGAAAATGTACTGGCATTACACAATGTTAAACCCTCTGGGATAATTAAATTCATCTGTATATCATTTGATTTCAACTCTAAGTGTATTTAGATTAAAATTTTTGAACTCCATTTCACTTGAAATAAACCCATATGCTGCGTCGATGAAGTTTCACGCCAAGCATTGGGAAACTTCAACAATAGTAATGCAAACTCAAGCCAACTCAACCCTGCTTTCGCCCCAAGCTGAAATTGATGATGATATTTGTCGCTAATGTTTAACGAATATGCAAATTTTGAAAGTAAATTTGTCTGAGTTGATTTAAATTCAATTAGATACCGTGTTATATTGTTTACACAAGAACAAAACCTTTAATAACTTAGTCAAACTCATATGAAGCTGTTCATCTACCTACTATTCATAATTTTAGGTTTTCACTTGAGACAGAGGTTGTGATATCATCTAGATTGAATTGTGGCTTGAAATTATGGCATATATTTGGTTTGTTTTAGTAAGTTCTGCATGGTTGCACATTCTACTTATTTTCTAGAAATTAGAATTTCCACTAAAATGCGATGCAACAACTTCCAATAAGCCCTCAGTTCATAAAAATCCAATAGAGAGAAGAAAAACTTAATTATCTCTGGCATGTATGAGTGAAAATGACTGCTGTTTCGTGCCCGGCTAATATATTCTGGAAATTTCTGAGTCTTGGTTTTGAGGGAAAGCCTTAGGATGGCTCCTTGTAATTTAAGATTCTATTAGATAAATTAGTCCAAGAAGCTCAATAAACATGAATATTATCTATTTTTTTCTTGGCTTGTGCATTGATGAGTGCTTGTATAAGGATACATTTATAGGCATGCACATATGGTTGCATATGAGTAATGCATTTATGTGTCTAGGAACTCTAGCACCCATGAGCTTTCTCTAGTTGGAATTTGGGATGTGATTCTGTGGCACTTTTGTATGATCAGCAGCGAAGGTTTATTGTTACTTTATGTAATCTAATGCTCATTCATTTTTTCTCCAGTGTGATGCATATGGAGCACCCGCTTCTTCTGAAACAACCTGGACAATGCAAACCACCTTTCCAGAATATGTGGTTGCACTTGCAACAATTGTTGGATCAGTGCTTTTTACTGTATGTTCCATTATTATGCACCCTTATTCATTAGGTTATTTTCCTTTTTCATCACCTTGAAGTATATTCCAATATTATAATAGTGTCAGAGTGTTTGGTCAATGCTTGTGGTGTTTTAATTTTTGGTCATATGAAATGTTTCTTGAACTTTTACCTTGTGATAGAAAGATCTTCACTTGTAGTATGAACTGTGAGGTTGTAACATTGGTGCAAAAATTTATGGTTGGTGTGTAAATTTTTGTCCCACACGCCCTCTTTTTATCCTAGTTTTTTTGGGGCAGATATTTGGTGGTGTGGGGATTGCTTGCCTTCCACTGGGCCTCATTTTTTCATTCATACGACGCCCCAAAGCTGTCATAACTCGGTCACAATATATCAAGGTTTTATTCTGTCTCAGTTTCTAGCATGTAATATCAGCTAATGCCTACAGTAGTACATGAGCATTAACTGGCTCCCTTTAGTTGCCTATTTTTTATGTGTAATCTCCTTGAGACCTGATAGGAAGCCACTGAACTGGGAAAAAAGGCTGGAGGATTGAAGAAAGCTATTGAAGCTCTTCACCAGGAGGAGAGAAGTGGTTCTAAGGGGAGAAAATGGCGCAAAAATGTGAAGGCTGCTGAAAAGGTGCACCTTTTTTTTAAATATTCAACTGATCAGCTGTTTTTTGAGTTAAGCTTTGATAACATGACTGATCATTTTGATGTAATTTTTATGCTTTATCTTTCATCAAATTATACATTGATTCGACTTATACTTCATATCCCTAATTCTGCAATCATTTCATATTTTATTGGAACCCTAATTATTGTTCTTATATACTGGTCTTCTTAAAGCTTTTCTTGGTAATATATAAACAAGTACACATGGTCTTTATGGGAATGGTTATGTACATTTTTTTTCTGCATTGCACATTCGATGTGCATGTTGAAGCAATTCAAATATCTTTTCATGCAATTTTTGGCATCATCCTGTGGTTGACTGGAGTTCATCATGGAAACAAGGGAACATAATTTTCGGGAACCCTTGTTATTTTGTGGTCACTACTGTTCATTCAGTATGAAGCGATTTTGGAAGTCTTCACACGCATATCTAGTTTTTGCATGAAACGAGCAAGGTGCTTTTTTTAGGCATATCTTGGCATTACCTAAATTTCTTGTGTTTGTTTATTTGTAAATGGCATTTAGCCTCGGGCGTCTATGATTCTTTATGGAGTTTATTGGTGATAATTCTAAATGATTCATATAATACTGAATAAATTACATATTTTGCAGAACCCTTGTTATTTTGTGGCCACTACCATTCACTCAGTATGTAGCAATTTTGGTCATATAATACTGATAATTCTAAATGATTCATATAATACTGAATAAATTTTATATATTTTGTAGAACCCTTGTTATTTTGTGGTCACTATGATTCACTCATCATGTAGCAATTTTGGTCATATAATACTGATAATTCTAAATGATTCATATAATACTGAATAAATTTTATATATTTTGGGTAACCCTTGTTATTTTGTGGTCAACTCACATGCGCATCTAGTTTTTGCATGAAAAGAGCAAGGTACTTTTTTTTACGCATATCTAGGCATGACCCAGATTTTTGGTGTTCGTTTATTTGTAAGTGGCATTTAGCCACGGGTGTCTATGATTCTTTATGGAGTTTATTGGTAATAATTCTAAATGATTCATATAATACTGAATAAAATTTATATATTAGTTGTATGATTTACTAATTTAGTAGAATTGGAGAGAGTAATAATTTTATTTGCTTGAAACAAGTATAATTTCCATGAATTTAAGTGTAAATCATGTGAACAAACTGTATCTACTGTACTATTTTCTGATGTGACTTCTAGGACTAATTCCTCATTTACCACTATCTAAAATTGTAAAAATATACTATTCTTATTTTAGAGTTGGTACCTTTTTAACTTGTCTAGAAGTATTTCATCATTCTGTAGCAAGTGAAGCATGGAAAAGGTTCGTTTGTCATTTACATACAACTGAGGCTTTTAAGAAAATTTTTAGGATATAGATGTCAGCCGTTGGCCCTATGAAATTCATTAGGTAACATCATAAGAAATTTTTTTGGACATTCAGATCTTAGTGCTTAATGGTAACAGGAACCTTTTTGTGAAATGAAATACGTGACTTGTGAAATCATCATATATTTTCTTCTGAGCAGGGGCTCTACAAAGAGATATTGCTATTTTTATATTTCGTCTCTGCATTTTCATGGTTTTTGTTAGCTTCTTTCTCTACACCCTTAATCTTTTGGTCTGTGTTTTCTGTAATAAAACTACTTTTGTAAACTGTTTTTCTTCCATTCTTCATCTAAAATCTAGGAGTTGCTTATTTTGGAAGATGATATGAAAGCTTTAGAAGAAATGTATCCACAAGGAGAGAAGGTGATGATAGTCGCAAGAACCTGTTTATTTGGTAGGGTTTAATTACCCTTTTCTTTGACAAATGTTCTGTATTTTTGTCCTTATAGGCTGAGACTCTGTGGGCTCTAACTGTTCTTGGCTACTTGGGAAAGCTTGTATTAGGGATCATTGGGTAGGTGCTGTAAGCTAATTTCCTTATTAAATTCTTTATGCCCCAGATTCCTTTAGGATGCTTCATTTTAATGGTATATATTTGATCATCATCACTTGCATTTCTTGACTGTTTCATTTTTCATTGTCTTTTGATAGCTTTCTAGTTTCTATATGACTTGAACTTCTTCAAACTATCGTCTGTTTAATAGAGAGATTATTTCACCATAATGTGTGTGTTTATTGTTATATCCTCTCATAATTGCACATGTTTTCTGGTTTCAGGTTGATTGTTTCGGTGGCCTGGGTTGCACATATTATTATATACTTGCTTATCAGCCCACCTATTTCTCCTTTCTTAAATGAAGTTTTCATCAAGTTGGATAACGTGTGGGGTATGTCGTGTCAACCAACGACAAATATTTTTTCATTTGATTTCCCAGGATTTGCCTAACACTTCTTTTATCAGGTCTGTTAGGGACTGCAGCATTTGCATTTTTCTGTTTCTATCTACTCCTTGCAGTGATTGCTGGGGAGATGATGCTTGGATTGAAGTTGGTTTTTATTACTATCCATCCAATGAAGTAATCGACCATGTTCCTTTCCATTTCTCATCAAGCTTAGAATGCATATTCTTTTTCCATTGTTCAGCTTCCTGATGTCTAACCAACTTGATTCAGGTGGGGAGGGACTCTTATGAACTCCTTTCTCTTTAATGTGGGGCTCATCCTGCTTTGCTCCATCAGGTTTGTATTCTAAGCTGATGTTACCGTGTAATTCAGCTTCATGTGGATAACATATATCTAAGAATTGTTTGTGTGTCTCCTTGCATCTTAATCAAGGAAGAGACCTGATAATATAATTGAGTTGCAGTTTAACTTGCAATTATTTGTTATTTTCTTTTGAATTCTTTGAGAATATACAAAACTGTTCAACAGCAACGAAGTGAAGCATCAACTTTAACGATTAGGTAGGATGAAGAACTAACTAGGACTTCTGAGATACCTGTTCCATGATCAAACGTTTATTGGTACTGCTGCTTTGTCAATGCAGACTTCAGAAACAAGACTGACATCATTTTGAGATGATTCTTCTCCCAATCCGTAATTTATTCTACTCAGAGCCATCTTTTTTGTAAAAGTAATTTACGACGAGTGGCACATTGTGGGATAAAATTAAGGAACCATAATTTAAGAGATTTTTGTTTCTCCTAGAACTTATAAAGAGAATGACATTCATGATCATTAAGAAATGTTGTGGAGTTTGGACATCCATTTTGCGTTGGTGTATTTAAGATACTTGTTCTTTACCTTCATTGATAGAAGGTGTTTGAGTGTTTGAGTTCCATGAATTGTCTTTGAAGATTTGACTTTCGCTGAGCTTTTGTTTTGGTGTTTATGTTCAATGGCATCTTTGCAGTGTGATTCAGTTCTGCGCCACAGCTTTTGCTTACTATTCACAAGCAACTGCCGCACAAGAAATTTTTGGCCACACGCTGCAATCTCTACGTGGAATCAAATATCTATACAAGTGAGCACAGTGTTTGTTTTTATCATGTCTAGAAATTATGAAGCCATAAGATCAGGATATCCAATCTAATTTGGACACCATAAACTCTTCTGATGTCTCTATTATTGATCTTTGTCATGCAGGTATAATGTGTTTCAATATGGTTTTGTTATTCTGGCAATTATCACACTCTTCTGCTATGCCGCATTTGTAAGTTTGTGGTTTGTCATATATCTAGATCTTTATTTGCATTTCATAGTTTTTTTATTTCATCTTTGATTCTTTCAGGGATGGAAAAAGAGAAAACCAAGTGGCAGCTTCCAACTATCAAGTTGATCTCTGTTGCTTGAGACCTTTATGGTTATAAGTTGGATGGTTACATGTATGATCTTATACTGGAGGTGACCATTTGATGATCTTTGATGTAAAAAATAGCCAATGTAGGTTTTTGATTGAATTCAGATCCAGCCTTGTTCTTTTGGAAAAACGAATCCTGTACTTAAATTCTCTGTATGATCTCGTAGTTATCAGTCAGAATATGCATCTTGGTGCTGCTAGAGTTAAAATGTATAATCGTTAGTTGTATATGGCAACTGCAGAGTAGAATTTAACCATGTTTTATTTGTCTTGTCTTCCTTGTGGTAGGAGGTGATATTTGACTTGTTCAGTCAGGTCAACTTCATCAAATTCCCTGAATCACGGTCGGATGGGTTGGATGCGTGTGCAAGCCTTGGGTGTGAAGGTGTGTGCCGGTCGCCATGTCTTTGCCCAAGTTGCACTGGGCGATCCAGGTTGTATAGACTCGCTTGTGGTTTTTTGGCAGTTCTGGGCATGATAAAGGCAACTACCGTGTCGTTAAAAGCATTAATTCTTCTACCAAAGTTTATTGCTAATAGCATCTTGCAGATATCATTCATTCATTCCTAGTCCATGATTACCATTTTCTGTGTGAAAGAATCGGTTCGTCAAGTTGGCATCTTTCTTCGGTGGATCCTTCTATTCGGAGTCGTGGACCAGTGGACCCAGGCACTCGTCGCCACGGGGGATTATTCGGTACGTTCGCTAGTTATTTTTTTGCTATCGATTTTGGTTTTTCGAAATATTTGTATTAAGGTGAGGCGCTAAAGTAATATTCGCCAATCAGAGTGCAGGATTATTATTACTTTTTTTTAATTTGGAGGAAGAAATAGAAATATTAAAGATTAAAGATTTTTCTCCCTCTGCCTGCCTCCGTTTCCTTGGACTACTTGGTCGTGCTGATTCCGTTCGGAACGACATTAAAGATGGCCGCCAAGAAGTGTAGGAGGAAGCTGGACCCCCTCGACATCATCAAAATCGGGTAAGAGCGACGTTTTCGCTTGGGTTTTTTTTAATGGGAATGAAGCACGGTGTCCGTGATCGCTGGTCCCGATGGCCCTCCATCGACCTAATGAGTCGCCTTCGACTTCTCGATCTCCATTTCTTAATTCTTTGTGGTTGGTCCCCTGACAAGGTCGAGCTCCTCGTCCTTCTCCATTCTCGCAGCGATCACGGACTCGGGATTTCTCGTGATTCCTCAAAGTCTCTTTCTTTTGCTTCTTCGACATCATCAATCAATCATTTCCTGTCATGTGCAGGCGACGACACGGGATTTCTCGTGATTCCTCAAAAGTGTTCGGGAACTCAAGTGGAGGGGCGGATCCCACTGTCTTCTCTAAAGCAAAACCCTGCGAGGTGGTGATCGGACGACGTTTGGTTGATTGTTAGCAGGTTGGAGGCGGTGACGTCGGTCGATCACGTAGACGTGGCAATAAAAAAGGAATGGGGGAACAATTCGTGCTAATTAAAATGCGGATGGTTTCTTTCTTTTTGGCCTTTTTTTTACACATTTGCCCCTCACTACACTTCCTATATTAATCTGATAGAGGAAAGGAAGACAAGATAAAAGGATTTAATTGTGAGATTAGAGAATAAATAAGGGGAAAAAAAAAAGGAAAGGAAAGAGGAAGAAGGAGAAGGAAGGAAGAAGAATGGAGGAGAAAAAAAAAAAGAATAGAGAAAAGTAGCAAATAGAGGTCTCGGGAAGGAAAAAAAAAAGGAGGGGGGGGGGGGGGGGAAAAGATCTAATGGGATTGAACCATAGGCCTCAAGTTTTTTTTTCTTATGGAGGTAAAAAAAAACCTTAATCCTAAGGAAGGAAAAGGTTTACTGCTCCCTAACACACTCGATCATGAAAGAATATAATATTTTATTAGTATCTTTATTTTTGAGTTAAATCAAATATAAGTTTAATTTATTATAAAATAGTGAGTGTATAAATTATCATATGCATAAGGTATTTTGAAAAATCATGTTTCAAATGATATGATTGTTGTTTCAAATGATATGATTGTCATAAGTTAAATATGAATATCTATGTTTTTTAAGTAAAAAAATATATAAATTATAATAAAAATATCTTGTATGTAATGATGTAAGGATGATATAATTGTCATGAGTTGTGAATGTATATATTTTGTAAGTATAAAAATATATGAATTGTGATAAAAATATTTTATATGCATGCATATATGATCACGTGCGGTATAAGAGTGCATGTGTTTTCTATGATAAACAGTGTGGAAGTGTATGGATATGCTTCGATATGCAATGCACGTATATGTTATGACATGCAATGTGAGAGTGTACGTATGCATTATGATGTGTGGCATGAGTGTATGTATATATATATATGTGTATATACATATGTATATATAATGTGTTATATATATGAGTGCATGCATGTATTATGATGTGCGATGTGAGAATACACGTATGTATTATAACATACGGTATAATAGTACACGTACATGTTATGACGTGTGATATGGGAGTGCACGTATATATTATGATATGTGGTGTGAGAGTATACATATATATTATGACGTGTTGTGTGAGAGTGCACGCGTATATATTATGATGCGCGATGTAAGAATGCATGTGTATATATATGATAACGTACGATGTGGTAGTGTAGGTCATGATATAGGATGTAGAAGTTTATGAATTTGTTATGATTTCTACATGTGCATATAAGCATTCTGAATTTTGTCAACATAAAATTTTACCTCTTTATTTTACATATATTATGTTGTACGATTATGCTTGCTAAAAAAAAATATATTATTAGGTATTTATCATTAATTATCTTATGATATTTATTTTAAAATATGATATACATGAAATGATATATGCTCATTGAATAAAATTAAAAAGACTTATACTTACCGAATGATTACTCACTATAAATCTTATTTTATAGGTAAGTGAAGTGAGTGAGTGCAAACCCATGTTAGCGATGATAACTTAAAAGAGGTATGAGATGTACTGCTCAACTATCATGTAGATTTTAATAAATAAATTAAATTAATAGCTTTGATAATATTGGAGAGAGAGAAGATATGATTAGTGCATCATTCAACTCTTCAACTGCACCTTTTCGTTTGTTGTATGTACGTCATCTAGGTGTAACTTGACCCAACACGACCTTGAAAAATATGAATTAAAGATAAATAATTTGATGAAAATAGATTCTGTTATCAAGAGTAAGCATCTAAAATAAAATATTAATAGCATAAACGTTATTCGCGACTTTGAGAATCTAAAAGCATTAAAGCCCTGGCAATTTGTTTTGGTCTATATAAAGTTTCCTGATTAGCCACACCTTCCTTGATATAAAGGGAAATGCTAAAGGAGGAGGAGTGTTAAAAGTTTAATATCCTCAGCAGTTGCATTTTTTATAACTCAACTTATGATAAAATAAAAAATAAAAATAAAAATAAAACTGAACTGAACTGATAGATTTTATGATGGCTTCGAAACTTGCGATCTCGAGGGGGGGCGAGAGGGTACAGAGATCATGAACAGTGACGAAATAAAACCACCATCTCGGGGGTTACCTACCTACCTACCGTGGTAGCTTAAAGCGTTGACCCAAGTGCGATAGAATCTTATAAATTGGACCTGCAACCAAAAGTTAATTGGTATAGACAAATTACACCCAAAAGAAGTGAAAAAAAAGTGGGCTGACATATGATATCATGATACCCAAGTAAATCTAATTCCAGAAATCACAAAGATTATTCTATTCTATTCAGTACCTTCTCATTATCTACAAACGCCACAGGTATTAAAATGACAGCTTGCTTACGCTGCAAACACCACTCAACTCTTTCCTGTAGGAGTCACGATAAAATATAGCTCAGATATGAGATGGACATCAAAGTATAACAGACATGAGATGGAGGAATCAACATCAATTAAATATAGCTCACACAAATATAATTTTGTGATTCCCTGCAAAACAATGACGGCAGTTAAAAGCCTAACTTTGAGACCAATCTCAATCATAATCTGAGCTCATACTAACTCTAAAAAATGATGATGATGATGATGATGATGATGATGATGAAAATTAGAATAGAAAATGCAGAAAACCTGAAAAAGGCATCCTAAACCTAATTAGAATCCCAATCTGAAACCCAGCTTAACAAAATAACAACTGGACTAGATTGACCAATCAGACCAGACCGCACTAATTCGTTTCATGGGACAGCCTCAGTCATATCCAGTTACAAGAAATTATTTATGCTTATTGACTTCCATCAGGCATTGACTCTCCCTAAACCATTACTATTGATTGAAAAACCAGCACATCAATTCTTCATCTCAACCCTCATGAGATTAAAATAAAAAACAAAAAAAATTGCATGTAAAATACACCAATTATTATTAGCTAACATCCTGTTAAAAATAATCATCGATAACATTAAGACAAGTGATTTGACTTGACTGTATTAGTCACATTAGTAACACTACTCATCGACTCACCGGTACCCGAGACACTAATAATAACTTAAATCTCAGAATTCTCAGATCAGTCATCCAGTAAGCATAATGGACATCCTCATCTTTACAAACAAAACAAATCTAAGATCTTTGTCAAAGTTACTAACACCTTCCTATTATGACGAAGAAAATGGCCAACTAAGACAAACCCACTGATACCTATTTATTCGAAGCCTCTTTATATGCACAATTTAAGTGCCTCACATTGGGTAAATATTTAAAATTCAAACATCCCACCATTGCTCGTGTCAACGAACATGCTTCCTTGTCCTACAATTGGGCGATCAAAGGATCATCACTAGGATGACCTTATTCCCCTAAAACCAGAATTTGATAAACTAGATCAGATATATTGGACTCAAGAGCAGGCACTTAATTTCACAGATGAAAAAGGAGATGCCGACAAAGAGATCACAACCTGTTTTCTTGTAAGTCAACAAAAAATACGAAAAGTGTTCATCGGCTATTAGAACCACTATTAAAGTATGTAATACTCCGATGAGTGCACTAGATGGATCATTTGCATGATGAAAGACGATATAACATCAATAGAGCATCCACACTAGAACTTAATCAATCTATATGCTCTAAGATGTTACACAAGCTGGAAAGAACTGTTCTAGTAGCCTGTTAAATCTCCCAAAATAGATGAGCCATTAAGGCGATGTTTTCTTCTTCAAAATAATCCTTGAATATTCAGCAGTACCTACAATTCAGTTGTTTAACATAGATATGTGTGACAGACTAATAAACTAACCAATGATCACTGTTGGATAGATGACAAATGAGTCCCATGTGACAAGGAATCTACTCCTGTAAACTAATACAACATCCCTCCGCTTGGGTGTAACATTAACTAATTTAGAACAAATAGTTTTTGAGAGCTGACTATAATGATTTTTGTACAATGCTGCAAATATAATTCTCTGCTTCTCAACATCTTAGATAAAAATATAATATGTTGAAGATATGGTAACCATGGCATCAAGCAGAAGAATGAAGGTAAATTTCCAACAACCTATGTTATTGTAAATCTAGCTAAAAACGATATGCAGCAACAAATAACAAAAAACATCAATGAATATCATACCGTCCTTACATCAGCTAAAATTACTGTAAGAACAAGATATAATTAGGACAGAATTGCGATCCACTAAGGCTCAACTCCAATAGATCTATCTACGCATCAGCTAAATAGTAATTATCACACAACAGCAAATCAAGTCCATAACTCGACCCATCTGATAAAGTATTTACAAACATTTGATGGTTTATGGCCCTCAACTAGTCGGCAAACTAAACCAACAAGAACGGAAATGCAAAGTAACAAGTATGTTAAAAGATCCAATTGTCTCCCTTTAACAATTTACTGCGTCAACAATTGGTACAAAAGGCACCGTCTATCACCATATAGCTAAAAGATGCTGGAACCCAGACGTACACTAGCAGGGAAGAACTATCATCTAGAATATCAATACTCAAAACAACATGAGAAAAAGACAATGCGAACCCAACAAAAAACAAAACTGGTTCACAAAACACTTCATTAATACAAAACGAAAGGTGCATTTCCTCCTTCTCAGGACCCCATTTTATGATGTTCAATGTGTGGACATAAGACTATAAATTTTACAGCTTAAGACCATAGAAGTACAACAATAATAGCTATACTGAATCTTCTAATATGAGGTATGAACTACATATGCCTACGCTTATTAAGTTTAGTACTTAACAGACTCATCACTATGCTCTATGCAAACCTCTCAGGTTGGATGCACCCAGTATAACCCACAAGTCATCTTTGACATCTTAGTTAAATTTCTTCCTAGATCTTAGAGCATTGCTCGGTTTTTACAAGCTCAGTCACGGTTTCAGCAATTCTTCCCTAATGCCCTGCTTATTGGAATGAATGATAGCAATTCACCATTTGGATGCAAACTAAGTTTTCGACTTAGTGATATCTACGAGTAACAACACGATAGCTCCAACCTGTACAATTTCTAGTCTGTGATAGCAACCTACGACAAACATGGCTGCAAATAATAAAGATCTGAATGTTCCAGCAAACTCACCAGATCCAGACGTGTTCTTTCGCCGCTTCATCTTCTCCACCTCGATTTGAGCTTCAATGATCATCTGCATCCTCTGGAACTCGAGATCCTTTGCAAACTCCATCCGTTTTAGTTCCAACTCCATCATCTGCCGCTGCTTCGAGTTTTCCACTCTCTCATAAACATCAGCAAATTTCATGATCGCCCTTGCCAATTCACTAAACGGCCCGTGGCCTCCATCACCATCACCCATGCCACAACCATAAACCCCCCAATCTCTTCGCCGCTTCCCGGCCAATGCACCGGCAAACATCCCATTAAGCTTACGCTCCTGCTCATCATCATCATCCTCGTCCGCCTCTGCGTCGGCTTCAATATCCTCGTCATCATTGCCGTCGCCGAACTCGGGAGAGCTCTCTGATGATCCCCGCAAATACACGGCCCCGTTAGGGTTCCGATGCTTGACGGTTGAAACGAGCGAAGGGTGACGTTTAGGCAGGGGGTGAGAATGCTGCAATCTTAAGGATGGCGTCGGGCGGTGGTAGGGCTCGGTGGCGGCGTCTCCGATGAGGAGATCGAGGCGCGAGAAGAAGGACCACTCCGACGGCCCAGGCTTCGCCTTCTCGATCTTGTACTTCTTCTTGAGGGTGTCGATCCGGTTCTTGCACTGGGCGTCGGTCTTGGGGGGCTTCCCCACCGCCTCCCGCCGCTCGTTCACGGCGTCCGCCACCTCTTTCCAGTCCTTCTGCCGGAGGCTGCCCCGGCTGAGGCGGAGGTGCCGATCGCCCCAGGCATCGATGAGGGCGCCCGTCGCGTCCTCGCTCCAGATATCCTCCCGCCCTCCTCCGCCGGCATGGTGGTGGTGGTGGAGATGACGGCGGCCGGAATCCATGGATCGGCGTGAGGTACAAGGTCAGGGTTAGGAGGAGGGTCGGTAGAAACGGAAGGGGAAAGGATTGGGAACAGGATAGAGGGAGAGGGAGAGGGAGAGGGAGAGAGAGAATGGGAGGAATCCCCACAAGGTCGGTGAGGCGGAACGTGGAATGCCGTCGGCCGTGCATGATGTGTACTTCCTCCTCTCCCCCCGACGGTAACGTCACCTGCGGTCGGGTGCGACCAACGCGGAGCCCAACGGTGCCTGACCACGCCGGTTTCTGTCCGCACGCTGCGGCGGTGACCGCACTCGGACCCCCAAAACCAACATAAAGAATCAAAACCGGCGACCGAGACAGAGAAAGAGTCCTTGCCGTGCTCCTCATGTGCGGCTATCGCTTATCCTGCTCCTTCAACTCCACCATTCATGTGCTGCAACGTGGTATTTCCTCATTGTTCCGTAACATTGCTTTCCTACTTAACATAAGCGTACCTTTTCCCGACCACTGGAGTCGTGAGAAGCCGTAAAGTCCCCTGGGACCCATCACTGGTCCAATCAGAAAGCAGGAAGTTGATACACGTAACGTAATTAGTACCAAAGCAAGACCAGCGGTGGTGTAGGATAGTTCAGTTGGGGGAACATAATCGAACAAAGACGGGGATACCGACAGTGCCGAGATACCGATAAGAGGCGGAGAGAAGCGACTCGGGAATAAGGATCGGAGGTGTTCTTTTGGGCGAGATAACGAGGAGAAGAAGTCGAGGGATGGGACGGCCGCCGAGGGCGATCGTGGGGGACGATTACGAGGTAATATGTTACGATTTCAGTTCGGCAGATAGCTTATTGGAATGCGATTTCGATCGAGCCGGCGTTTTGTTTCTTCTTTGAAGTAGGAATTTCTTGCAATTGGAAGGTTGGTTTTGACACACATGAATCTGTAATATGGAATCGAACCCTTTGATTCAAAAGATTCGTATTCCCTTGTTGCAATAGCTATTTGGTGTATATTGCAAATCCAACTTTGAGATGCTATCGGTACTGCTCTTCAGCTACACCAGCCTCAAAGCCCTGTTCCACAGTCTTCAGCTTTTGGCCAATAGTTATTTGATGATCGTTATCCCGTAGTTATTTGATAATAATTCCAAATCATTCGATGCAAGATTTACTACAACGTTATTTATCGAACCTAACTTGCATATGTTTTACCTTTTTTTTGGTTAATGGCTATTAATTTTCTTAACAAAAGGTGATTTGGGGATCATGAGTGAGAAGGTAACATCAATCTTCAAAAGAAACAACTGATTCTCATAGCAACTTGGAATAGTTTGAGTTCCTCTGATCTTAGAATCCTTTATATTACAAAGAAGAAAAAATATGTGGAATCGATTTCATTCCACATATTTAAGATGTTCATAAGAGGTAGTCAACATGCTTATAACCACTTCGCTCAAGGTACATTGTCTTGTTTGTCCTAATATGCCGAGATACCAACTCAATGGGCTATTGGAGAACAAACTAAAGCTAAGGAAGCATTATTTAAAAATTATTAAATATGGTAGTTGAAATAATTGTTTTTACAAATGACTAGTGAAAACAGGATTTGATCTCTAGACCTGGCTATCGATAGAACCCTCAGTTTTTGATAAGTGGATTTGGTCCATTGCCATTAGACCATTGTCTTAGTTTCAACCCTTAAAGTGGATCTAATACACCACTATCAAACTAATGTTTTATGTGTGTATCTTATAAAATTTAAATAATGAAAATAGACAAGCCATTGTTTTGAAAATTTCACAAAGGCAACTTTAGCCTTAGATCAATGTTTTGATAAGTGCATTTGGTGCAATACCATTAGATTAATGTTTTAGCTTCAACCCTTAACAAGTAGATCTGATACACTACTATCAAACTAATGTTTTATGTGTATATCTTCTAAAATTTAAATTAAAAAATTAGTCAAGCTATTAAAAAATGAGAATTTCACAAAGGCAACCTTAGCAAAAACAAAGGGACCACTGGCAGGTGCTGTTCAAAGCGATCTGCTTTGCTTAAGGTCAAAAGTCCTCTTCATCTGTTATGCTGGGAAATGCTGACTAGTTCATGCTAAAACTTGCTACAATCACCTTCTTGAGTTGGTATATGCCTATTATTAAGCTTAGCATGTCTTTCAAAGCTGGATAGCAACTAAGCAGCTTTTCTCGATTATTTCAGTTGTTGCTTCCAGACTGTAATATTTTATCTTATACTTCTCTTTAGTTTAGTGGTGAGGAATAATTTTGGAAGGCAATATCTGTTTATGTCATTTGAAGTGGTCAAGTCAATTCGAAGAAGTTAATTCCTAACCCTCTTATTGATCATATGAGCTGATTGTAGCTTTTATTGTTCCATGATATGGGCATGTAAAAAGATCCTCCCCAACATGGGCTTAGTATATGATTCTCCATTCAATGGTGAGTTGTCTGGTACCAGCTTCATATAGGGTGTCTTCTACATTCTTGAATAGCCATACTAATATTATAAAGCAAACCTTCCATTTTTAGATCCACATTTGTAGGAAGTATTAAGTCATGATGATAATTCAAGGGGAATCTTAGTGATTATTTTCCTTTATTGTCTTTTTATAATTATTTATGGATTACTTTGTGAATTTCATCTTCTATTGCCATCAGTGTGGCCAAGAAAACTTATACCTCTAAGTTGCTTGAGTACTTCTCCTGCAATATATATCTAGGCATTAGCTGTGGTTTCTAAAAGCCGGATGCTTTCTTTAATTCAGGTAACAGAGTTATGTTATTCTGAAGGTTGGCCTACATTTGTGTCATGATTGGTGAGGGAATGTAATGCATATCTACAAGCATTACTGTAGTAAGTTTTCATCTGATTATAGTAGTCCTCTTCCTTTCTTGTCCTTAATGTATCTCTTCTCGAGAAGCTTCAGGAATGCCAACATCCTTAAAAGAAAGTGGCTTCCCCGGCTTCTTCCGATGTAAAGGGATAAATCTCAATCATCTTCTGGGGAATAAAGGCTAAAGACGGCAGTTTAATATGTTCAGTTGTTGTAACTCAACAAGATCATTCTCTTGTTCTACGAGGAGGATATGATCATAGAAATCTGTTGTGAAAAGTGAAGCAAGTGGGTCGTTTTTAGCTTTAGTAGGCCTTCACATAAGTTGTTCTAAATGCTAACGGTGATTATACAAACCATGTTTTGTTGCTCAGAGAAGAGTAATGTGAGACGTGTGGCTCTGTTAGCTTTTTAACTTGCAAGAGATCTCAGTTGCCTATTGATGTCTTCAATTGTATTGGGTTATAATCCCAAAAGATTATGTATGTATGTCTGTGTGTCTATATGTTTGTTTTTCTTTCTTTCTAAATTGAGTTACACCAAATGGAGAGTCAAACAATTTCTAACAGATATTTTAGGCATGTAATATTGTTGATATTTTTTAAACTCATTGATAATCATGATCAATAATGGTTAATGCTAATCATTAATAGGAGTGATATATTTTGTATCACATGGGTTTTTTTCTTTTTTCTATGGACACATGATAACGTAAACTCAAAAATAAAATCTAATTAACTCTATTGTTGAGGATAGTCTGTTTTCTATTAGAATTTGGTTTATCTCTCACGTTTCTTCAAGTAGCGAATGGAGGAACTAATGATCCGCTAATCCTAAAATGGGTTGGGTCAAGTTAACTTACGGGTTAAGACTTGACTTATTTACTAGGCTTAGCTTGCTGACAAGGCCTAGTATACAAGCTATAGCTTAGCCTACGGCTTGGGTTTGGTCTATTGATTGATTTCTATTCAAATCCTAATCAATTCTCATAATTTTGAATTATACATCATGAAATTATGTTCAAAACATATAATCACTAGTATTGATTCATTAAAACATAATAAATAGTAATAAATTAAAAGATAAAATCATATTAGGAAGGAAATAATTTTTTAAATCAATTATGGTATAAGTCTAATAGAAATCAAGCATTACAACTAGGAAAAATAAAATTTTAGAAACTACATATAACATTAATAATTATAATATATTTTTAATTTTAAAAAATTAAATAATTGAAGGAATTAAAAAAAAAATGTTTTTTTAGAAAAGACAGGAGCCTAATTTCTTGGTAAAATAATATTACTCAACTTGAAGTATTGAATATCTGTTATTTAAATTTTATTAGAAAGAAGAAAAAAAAATCAAATAATTATGGTTAAATTAAGATATTTGATTTACGATAGACTTTCTCATTTTCTTCGCATCTTCCTACTTTTTCTCGACTTATTCTTTTTCTTCATGTTAATGACGGGATAATGATATATAGTTTACACGCGGCACGTATTCATTGGTGGATCGAGGATCTGCTACATCACCCGTCAACGTCCCATATGGTAAATGTGTCTATCATGCAAAGAAGAGGAACGAAATCACTACACTAATCGACGCCACCGTGTGAGAGACTATAATAGTGGGTCAATGCATCGCCATGGGTTTCCGCACAACCACACACTTCTGTCTACGGAAGTGGCCACTTCGACGCAGTCCACACCGACTCATTTCCCACATCAGCGGTCTCCACTCTCATGAAACCCAGCGTCAATTGCGGGTCCACTTCCAATTCCAACTGGGCCACGCCTCACCGGGGTCCCCTTTTACCATCGCAAGCGAAGACGAAGACAAAACGGACCAAGTGAGACTTTGAGGATCGAGTTGCGACTCGTGAAGGAAGGAGGAGGAGGCAGCGACGAAGGAAGAGAGAGAGAGAGAGAGAGAGAGAGAGAGAGAGAGGGGGAGAGACTTGGGGAGTCGTCATGTCGGGGTGCGATGTCGGTGACGCCAGCCGCGCCCAGTGGTGCCGCAACGGGGCGGCGGCGCAGCAGCTCAAGCTGGTGTCCATCGGCATCATCCTGGTGACTAGCGCCGTCGGGATCTCGTCGCCGGTGGTCCTCGCCCGCGTCTTCGAGGGGAAGCCCGCCTACGGCCGCGCCCTCCTCCTCATCAAATGCTTTGCTGCCGGCGTCGTCCTCTCTACCGCCCTCGTCCACGTCCTCCCCGATGCCTTCGACGCCCTCGCCGACTGCCAGGTCGCCGCTCGCCATCCCTGGCGCGACTTTCCCTTCTCTGGCCTCCTCACCCTTATCGGCGCCCTCCTTGCCCTCCTCGTCGACGTCGTTGCCACCTCCCACGCTGTAGCCGGCTCCGCCGGCAAGCAGCAGTACCAGCCCGTCGAACTCGAGGAGGGCAAGCGGAAGCCCGCGGCGGCGTCGGTGTCGGCGGTGGCGATGGGTGGGTGCCACGGGCACCACGGAGTAGCGGACGAGCAGGAGGGGGAGGAGGAGGAAGGGGATCAGGGAAGCGAGGAGGAGAGGCTGGCGAAGCTGAAGCAGAGGATGGTGTCGCAGGTGCTGGAGATTGGGATTGTGTTCCATTCCGTGATCATCGGGGTGACGATGGGGATGTCGCAGAACCAGTGCGCAATTAGGCCGCTTGTCGTAGCCCTTGCCTTCCACCAGATCTTTGAAGGGTTGGGGCTCGGCGGATGCATCGCTCAGGTGAAGAAATCGTGCCCTTTGCTTCAGATTTATGGTCATAGATCTCATTTTTCCAGATCAATTGGCTGTTTCTTCCTGGTTGCTTCTTGAGTTCATGCCGTCAAAGTGTTTGCTTTAAGTCTTTCGGTCATCAGTAGTGACTTTATTTTTGGCATCCTTCCATTCTAAACCCTAAAATTTTAAACTGTTCCAAAATTTAACTGCTTAGTCGGATGCAAACTTTAAACCTATAATCTTTATAGAGCCCTTACAAAATTTACCCCCAATTTAAATTATATGTTCTCTACTCTACCATATAGCATAGAATTTTACCCCCAATCTATTTGATATGTCAGCACACTTTCTGGCTAATTGTTATTTCTAAAAAGCATGCCTTTTTCAGTATAGTGATGCGTGACTAGATGAACACACAGCCCGATCCTCTTTTAAATCAGTGCACAGACGAGAGAGCTCTAACTTTTTCTACACTGCACTATTCTGCAGTGGGCAACCAGTGGTTCATGCTTTAGGCACTGCCAATATAGATCCATATGATTTTGTTTGATTATTATGATGATTAGCATGACAATTAGAAGACAAAGTCGTACGATAATTAAATGCTGTGGTATTAAGTTATATACAGCAAACTGGAATTCCACTCTTCTAATTCGGTAACATGTACTGTCTGGGCATTTCTTGTTTGCTGGATTTAGTTGTTGTTGCACAAGGGAAACTTTTCTGTATTTACACCGATGCGGAAGACACTTTTAACTTTTCATTTAACCCATAGACAAGAAAAGAAGATGATTCATCCCACTTATCCACTTGCAAAGAATGTTTCTGATTAGAACTTTAGGTGTAATGCCACCAGGCCAAGTTCCACTTCTTGTATATTGTATCCTCTTTGTGATGTAGTTATCTGACCTCCACTAAATTCTGTTTGTATCCATTTTGTCTCAGAAGTGTGTGTATTTCATAATTGAGCATCCATATGCATCAATCAGTTATATCGCATGAAAATCAAACATTGGGCATCTAGATGTATGTGGTTCTACAATCATAGTTGAACCATCGGCAAATGATTGGTTGAACTATGTCGTTATGCTACAGATATTTCTGGCTGACTGATCTATGGTAATAAATTTTACAGGCTGGATTTGGCTTCGGAACAGTGGCTTACATGTGCCTCATGTTCTCAGTGACTACGCCAATGGGGATAATATTGGGAATGATTGTTTTCTATATGACTGGCTACGACGACAGCAACCCAAATGCCCTGATATCAGAAGGATTGCTAGGTTCTCTTTCTGCAGGCGTCCTAATATATATGGCACTTGTTGATCTAATAGCTGTAGATTTCTTCCACAACAAGGCCATGTCTTCGAGTTCTCAGTTGAAGAAGGCATGTTATGTGGCTTTAGTCCTTGGATCTGCTTCGATGTCGATACTTGCACTTTGGGCTTAGAGCACTTAGAGCATAAATCTATGATCCAACTTGTTTGTCTATGTTAATCACACAATTTATTGATATTTCATTTCCAAGTGGAGGCTATCTGATGGCGAAATGCGGGTACGTCATCGTGGTTTCTTTATATTGCACTTTGCCTTTTCAGCTTTTACTTCACGCACATGCTTTCCTTATCATCTTTCTAAATATTTTTGTTTTTATTGCTCAGATTGTATACATTTTGATTTCTCGGTATCTTTAATATTCAGATTTGTTTGAGCATCTAATGCTAGAACCCGAAAGCAGCTCAGAAAAGACACTCTTTCACTATTACTGAAAATTCTCACCTAGGTAGGTCCTTTCTATGTTAGGATGTTTTGTGTATGCCTAGAGCAGTATTACTATGCTTTTGCTTTTCTTTCCCTGAGGAGTAATATTGTTTGCTTATATTCCAGACGCAAATAATACAATTAATGAATGAAGACTCTTACTCTCTTTGTGGATAAGGTAGTGAAGAATAAGAACCCAAAATTTTTCTTGTGGGGTTTGGCAATGGCAATAGGCAGAGGAACAGATTGCTTTTACAGTGAAAGACAACTAGGATTCCAATCTTGAGTGAAGATGAGCATAAAACAGCAGATTAATATGACAACAATTGTTTATTATGAAATGAGAAACCGATTTATAGATGTGTGTAAATGGTTAAGTCAAAATATTTCATATAGGTTTAGGTCCAAATTGGCCATTGGTGACTGATTAATGAGATAACCAACCGGGCATGTGATTGATAGAATCTGTGAAATTTGCACTGAGGTGCATAAACAACAGGACTGGGTGTAGCAAAACAGAACGAGGTGAACTAGTTTTACCATCTCCAGGATTAATTAGTAGCAAAATCTCCTGACATGGGTAGATTTCACTTGTGCCATGGCTTTTTATGTATACCCTGCTTTCCCTACTTGGACTTGGAAGAGTTGCACGAGACTTTGTTGTGCTGACTTAATCCTCTACCGACAACAACACTGAAACCTTAGGGAATTGTTATTATTATTATTATTTTCTCTACAACTTGCCAATCCATCACGGTGAGACGAGAGACTCCAATTGGTGTGTCAGGATGACCAGACGTCCAGGATTGGATCAGCGTATGGTATCAGTCCAATGTGTCTGATTGACGATCAAACCCCTTTATCATGAATCATTTAAGTTCTCCTACTGATGTGGACGTCTAGGATTTCATCAAGTTATGGATCATCATCTACCTATCAACCCCCACTTAATTGATTTCATCAAGTTATGGATTTCATCAAGTTATGGATCATCATCCAATTATGACGTCTAGGATTGCATCGAGTGATGCATATGGATTGTCTACCTATCAAACCCCTTATAATAAATCCAATCGAGGACAAAATTGGGTTTCTGGCCGGAGAATATGCTTTTGAAGAAAGAGTCACAAAGATACATCACGAGCTGCGATCGCAGGGATCTCTAAACCCAAGCAGAGGAACCCTCGGCAAAAATTAATCGATTTATTTACAACAAATCGAATCAAGAAATTTCTCTCTATTCTAGAGAACCAAGTAAATTGAATCAAGAATCCAATAGATGATTAAACCCGATGATGCACAAGTACTCGAGCCGTAGCAAACTAAACAATGGAGGGTGGGTGCAAATCCATCTCGACAAACATCACCACACTTTCCATGTTTCACTTAGGTAGGACGGAATCACCAAAATACAGCCAAAACTCCTTGACAAATGAAGTAGGGGAAATTACAAACAAAACTACATCTTATAAATTACAATCCAGAACGAAGACCATTCGACCACGATATAGGTTGTACGATATAGGCAAGCAGCCGCTCCATTTTGCTGCACATTTTAGGAAAAACATAGTCACTATATCCGTTGAGAGGGCGGTTATTGGCCAGACCTAAGATGCCGAATATGATTCTTTGGTGTTTGCTTGCTTCTCTTCATGGACTTCTTTCTTCTTGTCATCAGCATGAGCTGCCTCTTTTGTGGTATTTCCCTCGGTTTTGTCTTCGCTCACAGTCAGCTTTTCTATAAGGCTGGCAGCTGACGATACATCCTTGCTCTCTTCCTCTTCGATCTTGTCAACTGATTCAGCAATTTCTTCGACCATCTCCCTGAACTTCTTACAGTCTGATTAAAAAAGGTTGACATTGACTTTAGACATAGAGGCGAAGTATTGCAAGTGCAAAAACTATGCAGTTGAGGGAGAAAAAGTTTGAGTGTGACTAGTGGTGTTGCCCTAAATAGATCTCAATGGTGGAAAAAGATTCATGTAGCCATCCATCCCATATAATTGTTGTCAAAGACTGAAAAAACATCACAAGAAAAATATATTCAAGCACTTCATGATGAGAAAACTCGAAAGGCTTCATTAACTCCCGTGTGTGTGACAAAGAACAATTCAATTCAACCAGGAGTAATGCAGAGAGAGAATCATTTCAATCAAGTCTAGATGATGAAAGCAGCAGGAGACCTATGCCAGAAAAGATGCGAAGTTTCTTTTGCCTTGGTGTGGCCTACAAAGATCTTTTTTTCATTATTCAAAAGTGGCCTAACAAAAGAAACAATAATGTTTCCTAGAGGTGAAAAAAAAAACAGATATTCTTTGCACGCACTTGCCTATCATTTTGAAGATGATAAAATGGTATAACATTAGTTAATAGGCAGGTTGTCCTCACAAGCAGCTGGAAAACAAAGTTAAGAGGAAATGGGGCAGAAAGGTCATTTTAACCAATAATTTGATGACATAAGGAACAGAATATGTAAATATTGGCATTAAATAGTACAGGTAAAGGTGAGGATTCTTCTGACAAATTTCATATATCATTCAAAATGCAGAAAGTAGATATCATGATGGTACAAAAGAGACCATTTTCTTTATATAATATACATAGAATGAAAAGCTCAAAGTAGATATATTATGTTACATCTAGTTAACCAACCTATCCACTTCGATGATAGATGAAATTTCAATACCAATGTAGCAGGAACTCTTTGTGCCATAGCTATCATATCCGAACTGGAAAGTGAACCAGCCAGGCCTTAGGTCAATTAGTCTGGATGCATGTTTGATTAATTTTTTTTTAAAATATATAAAATAATTCAAAATTATATGTAATAAAAATCTATAATACCAAAATTAATAAGAAAATAAACACAATCTTAGACAAATGAAAATATAACTTGGGTCATAAAGAATATGATAAAAACAGTAACATCAACCAATATTATAAAGAAAAAACTTTATCCATATCAAATGAAACGTGATGATCTTACAAAAGTAAAAAAATTGAATATGCAATTCAATTACTTAAACAAGAATATTGATATAGATATAACATGTATGATGAAAGTTACGACGAAACATCAATGAAGTATAATAAGAAGAGATGATAAGATGACCTTAGGAACAAGAACAACTAGGGTGAAGGGAGATGAGGAAGAGAGGGGAGAGATGGCTAGAGGAAGGAAATGTCGTTTTCCTTAGTACCTTAACCTAATTCACAATTAGCATAAATACCCTCTAAAACAAATAAAAAAGAAACTTGTTAAGTTAGGAGTATTCTGATAACTATGCTTTCATTGTGCACAACAAATATTAGCCAAGATAGCAAAACAATATAAAGGGACATATACCCATGGATCGATATTTAGGTCATTTGCTTCAGGTACAGCAAAGGTCAACATTAGGCATTTCTAATTGGTATGTCGTCGAGAAATAAGGAAGAAGAGGCTCACTTTCGACCGATCCAAACCGAATCGCAAACATCTCCTCCTTCAGCTCCCCATCCGAGAAGTCCATCGCATGCCACACGCACGACTTGTCGTTCCCGGCATGTTCCTGCATCCTGATCGACGGAACAACTGCAGAAAAGGGGGAAAAGAAGAGTTTATAGATCCATCTGAAATCTGAATCTTTCAAGCAATAAGAAACGTCAGAGGAAGAGACCAAGATGATTGGCGCAGATCTTGAGTGTCTTGGCCTGCCTCATCACCAGCCGAACCTTTCCGGTTTCTTTATGCTTCAGAAGCTTCACGTTCCCACTGCCCCGCTCCTTCCACTGATTCCCCTCCTTGTCGAACCGATACAGCTTCGCCTTCCTGCAACGGCAGCAGAAGAACCGATCGAGATCGCGACCCAAAAACCACGATTCAGTAGGAATCGGGAGAAGAGGAGGGAGGGGTTAGGGAGATACAGGTCCAGGAGGGAGTCCTCGTCCTCCTCGCCGGTGGTGACCGCGACCTCCTCTAGACGGACTATGGGTGATATATGGGCGCCAGTGTCCTCCTCCTCGCCGGCGTCGGCAGCGGCCTCCTCCTCCTCCGGGCGATCCACGTCGGTGCTCGCCATGGAAGGTAAAAGAGAACTTCCGATGGAGTGACAGTCGCGAGAGAGAGAGAGCGCGACGGCTGGCTTTAAAGCAAAGCCAAAGCGCTTTTCCCCCCCTTTTTTTATTGCATATAATTGGCAATATAATTATATATTTATATTTATATTTATATTTCTATATACTTTTAGAATATATGGTATATATATATATATACCTTTTATTTAATCTAATAAAACTCAAATTATTAATGATAAAATAATTAATAAAAAATTTAAAATATATATTAATATTAAATAATTTAATTTTTAAATAATAATAATAATCCTAATTTTCTTAGATTAATGTTAATCGAAACGGTGTATATAAAAGATTTACATATATATATTGAGATTGGAGAACAGGAGAGAATATTTTGGATGTTGGAGAGATTATGGTTATGATGAGCACAGAACGGGAACATTAATGGTATGCAATTTTATTTCCGACAAAAAAGTCATCTCTGGTTGCTTTCCTTCTGCACCACATGTGCAAGTGGCAGCACGCCACGCGCTTTAGGGGAGAAGAAAGTTGGCATGCACAGTGATCTGAGACTGAACTCATCAGACCTAACCTTCTTAGCCTCCACAAGAGAGAGAGAGAGAGAGAGAGAGAAGAAAAGGAAATGTAGAACTGTATTGCCATTTATCAGTGACGACAAGTGATGACACCCAATGACCAAACTCTTCCCCATTCCAAGCACATGCTGACAGCCCAAACCACCATTACGGCAGTAACACCGGCGCCAACAAAGACGACTACGGCAGCTGCTGCAAGAAGCAGAGCGTCTCATTCCACTGCACAACCCACCCTCACTTGGCTCACCGGCGCTGCCGTTCCCGTCTCCCGATTCCCACCAGCCGCTGCTCGAACGATCTTCGCACATCCCTTCCACAACGATCTCTTCCTCCTCTGACTCAGAGCACCAGATGAGCTCCCAACCATCACTGCACCAACCAAAGGCACCTCCGTCCAAAGCCAATTCCCTCACTCTTCCTCTTGCGCAATTCATCATCTCCTCGGCTTGATGATCGTAACTAGAACTAACAGTGCATCTTTCTTTGATGGAATCATCGTCGTCGTCATGGAATTCCGTGTTTGCCCACTCGAGAACGCCTCTCGGAGATGGGTCGGTGATTACGCTTTCCTTGGCTAAGAAAGGATGCCGCAGTAACTGCTCCGCCGTCCACCGCTCGGTCGCGTCCCTCCTGAAACACCTGGCGAGAAAGTCCTGGCCGACGTCAGACAGCCGAGCTGGGAACTCCGGTGTCTCGCCGCCATAGCCTATCCTGAGCATAGCTCCGGCAGCGTCGTTGGTCCTCATGTCGGGCCACGGCGGTGCACCCGTGACCATTTCGATGACGGTGCACCCGAGCGACCACACGTCCGACGCGGGCGTTGGCCGCTCCCCTCTCGCTACCTCCGGCGCCATCCACAGCGGGGTCCCGCGCACCCAACCCCGCCCGTCTCCTCCCCTGCTCGCGTCCGCAATCCTCACCGCTGCGCCGAAGTCCGCGAGCTTGGCCACGCGCCGGTCCCGCCCCAAGAGCACGTTCCGGCCCTTGACGTCGCAGTGCACGACCCCGGCGACGTCGTGGAGATAACGAAGAGCTCGCACCACGCACCGCGCGTAAGCGCGCACTTGGATCTCGTCCAGCGGGAGACCCTTGGCCTTCGCCGCCGCTGCTGACTCCGCCACCGTGCCGCCGGGCATGTACTCGAGGTGCAGGTTCCGGCACGCGCCGGCACGAGGCTCCTGGCTGGTGTCGTCGCCGAGGTAAGCGACGACGTAGGGAGAGCGAAGGGACCTGAGGATTTGGATCTCCCTCTCCAAAGATTGGACCGAGGCAACAGGGGACGAACTCAGGCTCACAGATTTGACGGCGAAAGCGTGGCCGGTGGACTCGTCCAAGGCGAGGTGCACGACGCCGAAGGCACCAGTTCCGATGGCGCTCCCCTTCACCCAACACCGTCCGTGGCTTTCCATGGCCGAGAAGTTGGAGTTCGAGCTATAGAAGACGGTGATGCCGAGCTTAAATATTTATAGCCGGTGTTATGATTGGTCAAACCAATCAAAATAGGATGGATAAGGTGCGGGGTGAACCCCTTCAATTAATGCTATGGATATGGGTTTCGTGGTTGGATTCGATCGAGCCGATTAGAATCCGTGTCGACTTGGTGGGGAAACATAAGCTTGGCGGCACGCACAATGCATGTTGGGCAAGTTTAGGACAGCGGGGAGACGTGCAGTAGCCATGAGCAGGATGACCAGTTGTCGAACACGGAGCATAGTAATAATGCGTGTGGATTTGCCTTGCCCTTCTCCAACAATGGAAGCAAGTGAGATCGAGTAAGATAAGCTAATCCGGTTCATGATCGACCCCAACAAGATCGAACCAGATCTAGCGGCAGGAATCGAGTTGCCAAATTGGCTCCGTGACGAGTGAGTGCGCCCTGCAAGCTCGGCCAAAAGTGGTCGGAACGGAGATTTGGGGCAGAGAGGAGTACGCGCATCAAACCTTGCGCAGAATTCATGGGATAGATGGGGCTGCCTTTGCGGAGGCGACGCCGGCCGGTGTAGGCCACATGTGGGCGGAAAGCGAGACAGAGTGGGCAAAGCAGTGCACCGGCAAGCCATGGTGGCTGACCTCACCGAGCATGCACCTGCCTCTGCGTTGCTTGACGTGATGGGGGAGAGAAACATCCCTCCGTTGGTTTGTGGCCATGGCTCCGTGACATGGGAATGAATACCACCGTGGGAGGGAAGCAGCTTCCGACCATGGATATGACAGATACACCGGTCGGCTCTGCACATGCACCCGTGGCCGGATTCGCAGATTGATGATTAGAAGGGGCAAGTCGCCGAACACATCACATGCGAGACGCGTGCCGACATACCTCGGGATGATATCTGGGAATCCAGACTATGTGCGCCGTTGTATCAACATGCTTCGTGTCTGGGGAGGGCGATCGACGCACGTGAGGGTCAACGTCGATGGGCTGCAGAGTTGACTCCCAGTATAATCACACTGATCGTTGACCGCAGATATACTGAGTCGGTAAATAGGACGAGGTGAAAAGTCAAACTCTATTAATTAAGGTACTTAATTAATGTGTCGTACGGATGAGACATGCGAATAAAGTGGTCGATTCAGATGTTCACGTGTTAAATTTTATTATTGTTTTTCTTGAAGAGTGTAAAAAAAAGTGAAAAAGAAATATATTTTTTTCAGGTTAAAAAGGTGGGAAGAACATGAACAGAGTGAGATAGGAGATAAAAAAGAGGAGAGGGAAGAACATGAATAGAGTGAGATAGGAGATAAAAAGAGGAGAGGGACATCGAGCCAACTCGGGCTGTGAGATATGGCTGACAAAAGGACAGAGGAGGAGGTGTCACATGCAGTTCCTTGCTCATCAACCTAACGATATCGATCATGGCAACCAGCTTATCACCAGTTGTTTTCCTGGAACCAATGCACACAGACAACCTGCAGAGTTGGGAATCGAAGCTTCATGTTCTTCAGAAAATTCTCAGTGCAAGAAAAATATGTGTGTGTGGATGCTACCCAAAGACGTATGATCGTCAGTTCAATACGGTGGTGAGATTGGTGTGCTCTGATCACTCTTTCGATCCCAAATCGGAACAAAGATTCCTGATTTCATTGCATAAGGTTCCTGCAATGCTAATGCGTAACGCTAATGCCAGAGCTGTGTCCGATCGAATCAAATCCCTTCTGTATACCTTAGTATCTATCGATAGAACGAAGCAGAATGACATGTTTTCTTGAAACAGGCACTTGAAGTGTCGACTTTGACTTGCTTCGAAGCAAGAAATGGTAGCTTTACTTACATACAGAAGGCAACACAGATCCTTCGATCATAACAGGAGAAACCCAACTCTCCCATATCATCGGATTGCTCGTGCTTCTTTGGTAAATCCTCGTATTGACAGAAGCCCTGTCTCTGATAATGCAATTCAACTGCCGAAGCTTTGTATCTCACCTTAATCCAGTGGTAAAGGGAAGACGAAGAAGACGAAGAAGAAGAAGAAACCAATCGGAACCGTCCATAGCCTGCGATGATCGAGCGAGAACCGTCGGATCAAAAAGAGCGAGAACCGTTCTTGGAGAAGATCCCGAGATTCAAAGAAACAGGCACGGAATTCACGAGCAGTGGGACCCGCTTCGTTTGGCCTTGGATTATACCCGTCTTCGTCGTTCGGTCTCTTCGTTTTCCAACGTTCGTCTGCTTTGCGCCGGTGATCATGTGCGGAATTCTGGCAGTCTTGGGTTGCTCCGATGACTCGCGGGCCAAACGCGCTCGGGTGCTCGAGCTCTCTCGCAGGCAATGATCCAACCTTCCCACCTACTTTCTTCCACCCTCTCTCTGCCTCTTCTCTCCATGCACGTTTGTTACTTGCATCAAGGGATGGAAGAGAGGTAACTCTCTGCGTACAGGTTAAAGCATCGCGGTCCAGATTGGAGCGGGCTGTACCAGCATGGAGATTGCTTCCTGGCACACCAGCGGCTGGCAATCGTCGATCCTGCTTCCGGCGACCAGCCTCTGTACAATGAAGACGAAACCATCGTCGTGACGGTCTGCAACACTCGTTTGAGTTGCTATCTGTACCTTAATTCGCTAGTTTAGCTCATTCATGGAGGGAATCTATTCGATGCCAGGCGAATGGAGAGATCTACAATCACGAAGAACTGAGGAAACGATTGCCCGGTCACAGGTTCAGAACAGGCAGCGACTGTGAAGTTATCGCGCATCTGGTAAGAGCTTTTAGCCCTCCTTCTGCCATCTCCATCTACCATTTCCCTCTGTGATTCCATTTGTCGGTGACAGTACGAGGAATATGGCGAGGGGTTCATGGATATGTTGGATGGGATCTTCTCGTTCGTGTTGCTGGATACGCGCGACGGCAGCTTCATTGCTGCTCGAGATGCGATCGGAATCACTCCTCTCTACATCGGCTGGGGACTCGAAGGTACTCTAGCTCGATCTTCTCCCCCCGAGCGATCGAATTCCCTGTAGAGATTGTTCTGAGTACATGCATGCAGGCTCTGTGTGGATATCATCAGAGATGAAAGGACTGAATGATGAGTGCAAACGCTTTGAGGTCTTCCCTCCGGGGCACATGTACACCAGTAAAGGAGGCAGCCATGAGAGATGGTACAAACCACCTTGGTACGTGGAGGCAATTCCATCAGCCCCGTATGATCCCCTTGTTCTGAGAGAGGCGTTCGAGAAGGTAAGACGCGTTGCAGGGAGAAACATGGTTGAATAGCCTCGAGAACGGGAACTGATCTTTCTCTCTGTTTGAAGGCTGTCATCAAAAGGCTCATGACTGATGTCCCATTCGGAGTCCTGTTATCCGGTGGCCTTGATTCATCACTGGTTGCTGCTGTGATTTGTCGTCACATGGCCGGAACGAGAGCTGCAGAGCAATGGGGAACCCAACTCCACTCCTTCTGCGTTGGCTTAGAGGTCAGCGATGTGGTCTCATCTTTTAGCCCAAAGAAGATATAGTCTGCGTCCGATCCTTTATCTTCGCTTTCCTTGCAGGGCTCGCCGGATCTGAAGGCTGCGAAGGACGTCGCCGATCACCTGGGAACCGTTCACCATGAGTTCCACTTCACCGTTCAAGTATCTACAACGTATGCTATGGCTCTGTACCATTCGAGCTCACCGTAGCTGATGATGAGTCTCTACATTTCCAGGACGGAATTGATGCGATCGAGGATGTGATCTATCATACCGAGACGTATGACGTGACCACGATCAGGGCCAGCACACCCATGTTCCTCATGTCTCGCAAGATCAAAGCGATGGGAGTGAAGATGGTGATCTCCGGCGAGGGGTCAGACGAGCTCTTCGGAGGCTACTTGTATTTCCACAAGGCACCAAACAAGGAAGAATTCCACAGGGAGACATGCCGCAAGGTATGCAGATTGGTGTTCTGCGCATATCTTCTTGTGGTTGGAGCTCTCACTCGTGCGATCGCACTCGTAGATTAAGGCGCTCCACCAATATGATTGCTTGAGAGCTAATAAAGCAACGTCCGCATGGGGAGTGGAAGCCCGCGTGCCCTTCTTGGATAAGGGATTCATAGACGTCGCAATGGGCATCGATCCAGAATGGAAGATGGTGTGTAAGATTTGTCTGATTGCTGGCAACACAAAAAAAAAAAGTTTCTGTTTTCTGACGCGATACGTTTGTGATCAGATCAAGCCTGATTTGGGGCGGATTGAGAAGTGGGTACTGAGGAAGGCTTTTGACGATGAGGCGAAGCCATACCTGCCAAAGGTACTCATTTGTCCACCATCTTCTCTCTCTTATCTTCTTCTTCTTCTTCTAAGTTTCCATCATGTCGCTGCAGCACATTCTGTACAGGCAAAAGGAGCAATTCAGTGATGGTGTTGGCTACAGCTGGATCGATGGACTGAAAGCCCACGCAGCAGAGCATGTACGTCGTCTTTCTTATTTGCCTCGAGGTGTCTCTGATCTAACCGGAACGTTCATCTTCATGCATGACAGGTGTCTGACAAAATGATGCAGCACGCAGAGCACGTATATCCATATAACACCCCTGCCACGAAAGAAGCCTACTACTACAGAATGATCTTCGAAAGCTTCTTCCCACAGGTAGAGAGAGCATGCACACAAACCCCATGATCATATGATCTCTTAGATGGTGATGTTCTCAATTTGGCGTGCAGAACTCTGCGAGATTGACTGTTCCCGGGGGTCCGAGCGTGGCGTGCAGCACCGCCAAGGCGGTGGAATGGGACGCGCGGTGGTCGAAGAACGTGGATCCCTCGGGCAGAGCTGCTGTGGGCGTGCATGCTTCCGCCTATGACCCAACCGCGCCGTCTCTTCTCGACGCGAAGCACAGAATGACAGAGGTGAAGGCTTCAGGGCTCACTGTAAGCACATAGTTTCTTCAGATAACATGCGTACTGCTTCCGTCGGCTTCACATGTGTTAGTAAGATCTTCTATGATGCAGGGTTGAAATCCTTGCATGAACTGAATGAAATCACAGCGAGGTTGATGATATTGCTCTACAGACATCACAACAGAAACCATAGGCAGTGATTATACTACCAGAATTTACAGCAGATATCAAGTGAACTATTACAGCTCTTTGTATATTGTCATTGGAATCAAGTCAAACACTTCAACATTCATCAACATACCAGAGAAATAACATCGTTTGTGCATATTTATGCTGTGAGACATGGCATTTACATACACACAAACTCATTAGCCATCTTTCCAACTCAGCAGACATGATCTTGAAGCTATAATTTTGCAACATGATTGCTCATATATATAAATATCTTTCAGCTCAAACACGTACTATAAACCTTCATGTTAGTGAACTCAACCAGTTGCAAAATATCGGTTGTTCCACTGTTAAAAAGCAGCGAATCGAAATCGGCAGACATGTTGCTGGTTTACCTTCCGTTAAGGCGCATTGTGCCGATTAGGACGACTTAGAATCTTATAACCTAGAGTGCCAACGGTTCACACCATGTCCAGGTAACATGTCTTCACATGAACCATACCTTAAAAACTGAAGCTTGTACCTTAACTAGAAGCATGAGCATTGAGAGCAGGCAAGCATGCGCTCAGAACTTCAGCGGCCTGTTCCAGCTCCGTCTCAGATATGATTAGCGGAGGTACCAGCCTAACGACATTCCCTTTTCCAGCCGTCAGCACCAAAAGGCCAGCATCTCGACATGCATTAACAAGGGGAGAAGCTTGGACATCCAGCTCAATTCCCACGATGAGCCCAAATCCACGTACTTCTTTCACGTGTGGGTTCCCTCCCAGTTTATTAAGGAGTAGATCTTTCAAATAGAGTCCTTTTCTGGTTACACTGGCCAAGAAAATGGAGTTCTGAATTTTATCCAGTACTGCAAGGGCAGCATGACAAACAAGAGGTCCACCAGCAAATGTGCTCCCATGGTCCCCAGAGCTTATGGCCGCAGCAACCCTTTCAGTGGTGAGGACGACACCAATTGGGAGACCACCGGCGAGGGGTTTAGCAAGGGTCATCATATCAGGAGCCACACCAAAAGCCTCATGGGCCCAGAGATGACCTGTTCGGCCCAACCCACACTGGACCTGCACAAGAGAATGTTATTGAAACATGATAACTTAAAGAATAATAAAGACCAGATGTAGACAAAATAACACAAATCAAGTTTCAAAAATGAAAGGGTAGGATAAAAAAAAGCAAATCGTTCTGTACATCTAACGTTGGCTATCAGTTACTTTAATGTTACGAAAAATGTAAAAACTTTAATTTACAAGCTGTATTCCCTTGGAACTATTTCACTTCAACCAGTTCCAAGTGCGAGATGCGAGCAATTATACTGATATCTTAATGTTAGGCAGCACAATAATCGAAGATCCATGTTAACTATAGTAAGAAAAGAAGCAGCTATAGATATTCTGTCAGACAAAAGTATAGATAAAGAGGAAAAGGACAGGTTTTGTTCCATGGTGAAATGGATTATAGGAATTAGATCATCTGCAAATATGCCAAATTTGTCTACCTAACTGGCTAGGAGACATTCGTGGCACTTGCAGCTTGAACACTACCAGTACTACAGTCACAAGCTGCACCGACCGGGATGAAGGTGCTAGGCAACCTCAATATTGGTCCATTAACCCAAGATCTTTTAAGATACAGGTGAATTAACCAAGGTGAACCAGCTTCATTAATTTTGAAAGACAATATTTACAGAAATTATGGTAGTGTTAGCAAAAAGATAATACGTCGTCCATGAAACTTTAAGCTAAATTAAAAAGATCCTATTGTAATAAATTTATAGTTGGAAAGTAAAAATCTTGAAACACTGAGAGATTTGAACAACCTAATTAGAAAAAAGATAAACCATGTCTCAAGGGGTCATTCCATGCAACCAATAACATAGTTTTAGAAAATCATCAACTATTCAAGTAAAGCCTACCTCGTCATATACCAAAAGAGCACCGGCATTGTCACAGGCAGTGCGAAGCGCCTGCAGGAAGTCCTTTGTGGCACTATATATTCCACCTTCACCCTGAATAGGTTCCACAAAAACTGCTGCAGTTTTGCCAGGTTGAATTGCTTCTATGGCTTCTTCACTATTCCCATATTCTATGAACGTAACCCCAGGCATGACAGGTTCAAAGGGTGACCTGTAGTGTTCTTTACTTGTGAGGGCAAGAGCACCCATCGTCCTCCCATGAAAACTATTAGTGAAAGCAATAAACTCAGTAGCAAGAAGCTTCTCATCAGCATGTGAAAATCTTTGGAACTTCCTAGCAAACTTTATAGCTGCTTCATTTGCTTCTGTTCCAGAATTTGTAAAGAAAACACGGTCTGCAAATGAACACTCTACAAGGCGCTTTCCAAGAGTCACCTGCATCATCCATGCACATCAATGGCCGAAGAAATAAAAAATATGAAAATTGGGAGAAGATAAGGAAAGTTTTAATGCTTAAGAAACAAATCGAATGAAAACAAGCATAAGCCGTGCATGAGGGCAGGAAAAGGTCACAAGTCAGGAACAATAACACAAGTTCAATACAAAGATCTCAAGTTAAGAACACATAGAAGCACTAAAAATGCAGAACTTACTAAAAATTTAGCTTCCAGAAAAGAATAGAATTTATTATTGGCTGGGCTATTATACCAGCAACACATAGAAGCACCAAAAATACAAAATTAAATTATAGAAAAGAATTTATTCTAAGCACTAAACAATAGTTACAGAAAAAAGAGGTGAGAATGCAAATAAGCAAAAAGGAGGGTGAAATAAAGAATGTGAGATGGAACTTTAGAGTGCTATCACACCAGGTTATTTGCAAGGTTTCCATCTTCAATTCATTCTGAAACCTTGAACTTTATACCCATTTCTACGTGAACCGGTATTTCTGATTTGCCGTCATCATTTCTTCGAAACTCCTCAGATCGTTTTAATTGTCTTCCTCCTAAATTCCAGTTTCATTTCTACTCTTTTAAGTTCTCTTATTGGCAGAAGCCCAAATCTTGAGCCCACAAAGTCACATGACAAACTGGCATAATAGTTTCTAAACATGCAAATGCAATAAAAGAACATTAAAATTCAGAGTTATCCCCATCAAAATTGACCACAATCCTACTAGGGACAGTATTTCAGACGACAAAAATATAGAAAAAGAACAAATAAACGAACAGTTGTTTTGAACCACAAATTAGACTTCATTCAAAAACAGAGTTTAGGGCTCCAGAAGCATATGTAAGATGCAAATCAGCAAAGGTCAGGCTTAACATGAGCGACGAACAAATGCCACGATAAATACAATAGAGCTAGTAATTACAGGAAATTAATGTAAAAGACTTGTTTGCTGAGAACAAACTGAAGAAAACTGGTACTCATCCATATTAATAAAAAAGAACCAGAGGCTCACGATGGTCGAAAGAACGAAAGAACAAAAGATATAAGTGCAATATTGAGCCCATTGATCAAAGAAACATAGCACCTAATCCATAAATCCCAACAAACCATTAACAATTTGCATTGATTAAGAACCCAAGAAAAGCTGTAGTCCATGTAAAATTCCTCAACTAACAAGTATCAAGACAAACTCATAGCCTGGCTCATAAATGTTCTAACTTTACCTGAGGTATTGAGTAGTAGACGTTACTGACATGGGTAAGAGTGCTGGCCTGCTCGACCACAGCATTCACCCAATCGGGATCGCCATGCCCGAGGGAGTTCACCGCGATCCCGGCCGTCATGTCCAGGTACTCCTTCCCGTCCACATCGTAGAGCTTGCATCCCTTGCCACTCTTGATCACCACCGGAGCTCGAGCATAGGTTCCCACGAGCACATTCCTTTCCGTCTCCATCACTTCCTTGCTCTCCCTCGTCACCGGCTTCGCGGAAGCTGACCCCTGCCGTGGGTCCGTCACCAGACATGAGGAAATCTTTGGAATTACTGCTCCTAATGAGATTTTCCGTCCTTTACCCAACTTAAAAAGCCGAGGGAGATCGGCCGGTGGAGAAATGTGAGAGATGTGTATCGTTTGAAGAGAATTCGACATTCTTCCCTGTAAGAAACCTCTCCTTTGATCTTTCTTCGCCAAGGTTAATAAAATTAAAGAACTATAAACACCAAAACAAATGCTTCGGCGAAATCTTACTTTGGCAGGCAACCATAAACTTATCTTCCTCCAAAAGCTATACGATTCTTAGAAAAATCGGATCTTTTTCCAAAGACTTACCGAAACAAAGAAGGTTTCTTTGACGATCTCGGATCAGAAGATGAAAGGTGGGAGATCGGACGCCACGTTGATCGGAACCGAAGCAAGGGGAAGCGAACCCCAACCGAGAGCTACAGACTGGCAACAGCGAGAGCAACTAATCTAGTAAACCGGCGTTCTGTTCACCGAGAGATTAGGGTTCTAAGGCGAATGGGTCTAAACCCGTGCATAAACCGTTACCAACCCAGCAGCGTCGCTGTAGCAACCGATGACCCGTTATAAACGACACGTTATGCGTCCCAATAAACGTTATAATGCCTATCGAGAAGGATATCGCGAGCGCCTCCTTCCCGTTACAGTTTGTAGCGCCTTCGGCCGAAAGGCACATATAATTAGGCAGACAGGTGAAGGCAAATGGAGTCATCTTCCTCTAAACCTGCTATTGTGAAGTATTGGTATGTGATCTACAAGAAATACTGATATTTCCTACTGCCACACCTCATACTCGATATCTTGAAGAGTACTCGCAATTAGCATGTCAGAAGATTCTGAGGCAAATGGAGTCATCTTCCTCTAAACCTGCACAGAATTCACAGAAACTGATGAGAATCGAAAGTGTACTCGTTATCCTTCTTTGTACTCACAGGAAATGCCCATGTCCTCTCTTTCTCTCTCTCTTCTCGCCTGTAACGTATGCATCAGAGAAGGAGCAGGCTGTGGATCCTGCATACGAATCATGAACCTCTTTGCTCTTTGGTCAATCTTCGAGCAAATGGACGCAACTGCGACGTCGACCTGGAAGTCATCCATCTTGCGCTTGCGGTGAAATAAGATTGGCTGTGCATGGTGGAGAAGATGGGCACATGAAGAACAGGCACAGCCTTCGTTGGTGGAAGAAGAAGACGTGCAAGCCATGCACGTGCCCTGCTTCTCCACCCTGCACAACCCACCACTCGGGTGCATGAAGCCAGCAAGCAGCTCTGCAGCTGAAGACGCCATCGCCCCCAGATTTATAAGGCTGGATGGAGCTGGAAGAACCACTCATCTCTTCCCTCCGCTGAGGCCACCGCACAGAAAGGTATAAGAGGTGGCATCTTTAGCCTTGCCGATGCTGATGAGTAGTGTCATCGAGGATTGGATGCGTTGGCTTGGAGACCACCGGACAAGCAAGCATGGGACAATAAGGCCAAAAACCAGGGAAGTGATGCTTAGTGCGCAGCATCTTTATGCATTTTAATTATGAGGGTTGCAATATCTTATAAGATGTACAGATCAGGTGGACTTCAGGGCGGCGGTGGAGCATGCGATAGATTCCTCAGGTGCTCATGGTTTCTTTTTCGGTGGATTGCAGCTTTATGAGGCTTCTTCAGGAATGTCATAGCTTCTTCTTCTCTCTCTCGCTGAGACACGAGCAATGATCGAGACCTAAGCTCCATTGCTAAGCATAACACTCATCTGAGCAATATGAGTAGATCTCCATGTAGTAGATAGAACCTCATGATTGAGGAGCTGACGTTGAAAAGTGATACACTTGGCTTGGTGCTGGTGGAATTAAGTCCATGCTCCTATAGTGGTTGTGATCAAGGATGATGATGCTGCACACTTAGAGAAATGACCACAGACATATGGGAAACAGCAACAAAGATGGTGGTGGTGAAGCAGTTTATATAGCGAGATTGATTGGGTGCAAGTAATCATTACACCTTGAGAATGGAGGGTGGCAGAAAAGTCGGTACCAACAAGCTCTAATGGGTTTGTCACAAACTCCATTATCTCTCATCTCTTCAAGAACAACAGTTTCTATTAGGTAAAAGCACTGTGGCCATGTTATTCTATGCACCTCAACATTACAAGTTGCTCATCCTTCACCTGAGTTGAACACCGGGGAAGACATCACTCATCCAATCCATCATGCATCGAACGACTTCTTGATGTGCACTTGAAAGGCTACCTTCTTCGCTTGGGCTTGGGCTTGGGTTTGGAGATCGTTTTGGGGTTCGGCAGGTGCCTGGGATTGGCTCGTGGCCCGCTGTAGTCCTCCAAAGAGACGACCAGTGACCGCCTTCCTCCGCCTCTGCTCAGCCCTGTTCAGTCCCATGCGATGGAATCGATGTATTCTCTTCGCTGCGTAGTAAACAAGGCAAGAAGATGATACCTGAGGCGGGACGGATGAGGCTTAGAGAGCAGAGCAGAGCGATGACGACGAAACAGAGGAGCCGCCGAGGCCGAAGCGAGCCATCTGTTCCCGAATCCATGACTGACGGGTACAGGGGAGGAGAGCAGCGTCTTTATACTGCGAGAATCGACGGAGGCGGCGGCCGACGTGCACGGCGTACATCGGAGGGAAGAGCTGACCGGAAGCGCGTCATGCGAGCCACGTAGTGGTGTTGGGTACAACGTCGTCTCCTTGCACGAGTACGACGAAAAATAGCGCCGCCAATCTGCAGCTGTCGAGTTTTGGGTATCTCATGCAGCAAAGCGTGCGAGTAAGGAATGCGTCGTGGCTCGAGTCGGGACGACGGTTTTTTTGCCACAAAGGTCTCTCTGCTACGTGTAAGCTGCTGATAGGTCGGTGCGGCTACAGCTGCTCGCCTTGGATTTGTAGCTTCCTATGGTTCCACGCAAGGCTCGCCATGGACACAAAACACACGAGGGAAAGCAAGAGGGCCACGAGGGAAAGCAAGAGGGAGAGGGGTAAAGGTGGGGAAACGGATTCCACGCTTATAGGAGATCTGAAGAGGTCTGTTGCTGTAATCCATGAGATTGCTGCTGATGAGGGAGGGGATAAAGGGAATTATATGTTCTTGATTCTTTGAGGGTTTGCAATAAAAATCTCTCCTTTTTACCGCCACCGTCACTGGACTTGTGAGTGGTTGCCGAGGCCGCCGTCATTGGCCTTTGCAATATCTGGTCTACAAAAAGGCAACAGAGGCAACGAGAGGCTGTTATGTGAGAAGGGCGAGCCGCCTCTGGAATCTGATCTCCGCCTTCTCCTGCCCTAATCCTATAGAAGACCTCTCAGACCGGGGAGGAGGAGTCGGGGACGGCGAAAAGGCGCGACCTTTGGGGGAATGGCGAGTTGGGTCGTCTCTAACTGCTGTGGCCTCAGGCCCCTCCCCGCATCCCTCCGTCGCCCCAACTCCGGCCTCCTACCCGCCGCTAGCCTCAAGCCCTTGAAGAGGAGGCCCCTCTTCTCCCCCACCGTCGGTCTCGGCGGCCGCAGGGAGTGGGCGCTCCGCGTGAGCGCGCCGTTGCAGGTGGCGCCCTTGGAGGATGAGAGGGAGTCCGGCGAGGGCAGCGGGGAGCCCTCCTTGAAGGGGAGTGACGGGAAGGAGGCAGCTTTCGACCCCGGGATGCCGCCGCCGTTCGGGCTGGCTGAGATTCGAGCGGCCATACCCAAGCATTGCTGGGTGAAGGACCCGTGGAGGTCGATGAGCTACGTGGTGCGCGACGTGGTGGTCGTATTTGGGCTCGCCGCGGCCGCGGCGTCCCTTAACAACTGGATAGTGTGGCCGCTCTATTGGATTGCGCAGGGAACCATGTTCTGGGCTCTCTTCGTTCTCGGCCATGATTGGTATGGAGCAAATCCTAAGCTCAAGATTCAACCTTTACTCGCTTCATGTTGCTTTCCTTACCAAGTTTGGATCTTTGGCAGTGGGCACGGGAGCTTTTCGAACAACCCGAAGCTTAACAGCGTCGTGGGGCATTTGCTCCACTCCTCCATTCTCGTGCCCTACCATGGATGGTAGCTTCCTATTTCCCACTCCTGGCATTCTCAATCTAATTAGATCTGTTGTTGCCTTCTCCCATGTCTAACGCAAACAAAGGTGATGCTTTTGATCTCTGCAGGAGAATTAGCCACAGGACTCATCACCAGAACCATGGGCACGTCGAGAATGACGAGTCATGGCATCCGGTTAGCAGCTCACTCATACTCGTGCTATGGACTATAGATTGCTTGTTGATTCCCTTGTGAAATCTGTATAATATGCTCTCTTCATTTTGCTCTAATTGCAGTTGGCTGAGAAACTGTACAGAAGTTTGGACTCCACAACTCGGAAGCTTCGCTTCACATTGCCATTCCCTATGTTTGCTTACCCCTTCTACCTGGTGAGCAGCTACTCAGATTGCTTGCAGTTGACTACTGATCATTTAGGAGCTCAGTTGTCTTAACTCATAACTCTTCACAGTGGGGAAGGAGTCCAGGAAAGTGCGGATCGCACTTCCACCCTAGTAGTGATTTGTTTGTCCCTAATGAGAAGAAGGATGTGATTACATCGACGATTTGCTGGGCTGCAATGGTGGTGATTCTTGCAGGGCTAACCTATTTGATGGGTCCTAATCAGATGCTTAAGCTCTATGGAGTTCCGTATTGGGTATGTGTTTCTTGTTTACCTTGCCATGTATATATATTACGGATGACTTGAATTGTTTTGCTTCTGAATGCAGATTTTTGTCATGTGGTTGGATCTTGTGACATACTTGCATCATCATGGACATGAGGAGAAGCTTCCTTGGTATCGTGGAAAGGTATGAAGTTGTTGATCAAAACTATCTAAATTGCATCGATTAGCCATCCAGAGAAGTTATGAAGTTAGATTAAGATATACACTTTGTGCTATCCAAATTTCCATGGGAACAGAACTGGTTTTATCCTGTGATTGTGTTGAACACTCGATGTTTCTTATACATGAATAACTCAGTTATCGGAAGAGCAACATGGTCGAAGGATCAATGTGTCCGATAGATTCTTGGGAATTGAAATAGCGAGTTTTGTTCTTGTCATGATTGTTGTTGTGCACATCAACATTTTCCACTGAAAGCTGGATAATTGAGATTGAATCTCGGTGTTTTTGCTCTAAAGATGATTCATTTAATGAGCTAATCATCTTTTGCTCATTACATCTAGGAATGGAGTTATCTTCGAGGAGGATTGACGACACTAGACCGAGATTATGGATGGATCAACAATATCCACCACGATATTGGCACTCATGTGATACATCACCTCTTCCCGCAGATACCACACTACCATCTAGTAGAAGCGGTCAGCACTACTTATTTTCTCCTTTGTTTTACTTGGATTTATTCTACGGAGTTTCTTATCAAACTTTTGTTGTCGTATCAGACCGAGGCAGCAAAACCAGTGATCGGGAAGTACTACAGGGAACCTGCCAAATCTGGACCTCTGCCATTTCACCTTCTGGGAGTCCTGGTGAGGAGCTTGAAACATGATCATTATGTTAATGACACTGGAGAAGTTGTCTACTATCAGACCGATTGAGGGGTACTTCAGATTAATGGTCATCTCAAAGGCATTGGTGGAATGCTAATAGCATAATACATGTTTGATCAGACCTACATGTTCATCAAAGCTGGAATTTTTGCTGATGGCTTCCTCTCTGGCCACACATTCTTTTCTCCTCTCCGAGTGCAAGGAAGAGATGCCTCTGCTGCCCGTTCATGTAATAGCATAGCATGGATCTGTATATGTTGAAGTTGGCCGGAAAAAAATTATCGGCATAAGCCAACCTATCATTCTTTGAGAAGAAGAAAGTGACAGGACTTGTTGTTGTTTGTTCCATCTACTAAAACTCATTGTGATTGCTGCACAAATGAAGATGCTCTTTTGAAATCCTCCACAAGAACAGGCAATTCTCCACCCACGAAGCATCACAGTGCATCCTCATCTCGAATGAAGCTGGTGGCAATCATTTGGTGGATGAAACATCCATTTCACCCATCTATATCACGGGACACAAACTTTTCCTTTCATTTGCTGTTGGATATGGACCAATCGGCTGTTGAAGGCAACTGCAGCAAGACATTTGTGTAGCACCCGCAGTCCAGGAAATGTCACTAGTGAGTGGTGGCAGCTTGGTCTATGAGAAGAGGTACCAACATCAAATGGCCATATATGCAGAAAGGAGAAGACATTTATGCTCCTGTTTCACTGATTTAAGCTATATGAGGTATCAACATCAACTGGCCATATATGCAGAAAGGATGAGACATGTATGCTCCTGTTTCACTGATTTAAGCTATATGTGAATCACATGTATGCCTCTTATCTTCTATCATTAATCATCTTCTTGACTTGATCAGATCACACATTAGATTCTTTTCCTTGTCTGCATATTCATCTGATAATGCAGCCATCACAATCTACTGTCGTTTCATCTTTTCCATGGTGGAGGATCAACAGATCCCGTGATTACTCCTTCCACTGAGTTCAACGAGAAGAGAAGAGGTCTCATCCGTCTCTGTCTTCAATAAGCTGTGTTTCTCACGTTTTCTGTGCTGTTGACATCAGACGAGAGGGAGCTCTTCGTGCAGCGTTGTCTATGCTCCCATGCTGCTCACTCGGCTTTGACTGCACCACCGGCTGCAGGAAGAGGAGGAAGAAGAAGCAGCAGCTTCGGGCCCCACCCGACGTCGACAGCTCCGCACCACACAAATCCTGAGTCAGAAACATCGGCTGCTGACAGACCCGAATCTCCCGGCCTCGGGTCACCCACCAACGTACCCACTCCTCTCTCTCTGTCTCTCTCTCTCTGACGCAATGACACCTACATATTAGATTGCCGACAACCGCGAAAGGACCCACGTGGACCCCACGGAACCACCCTTTTCCCAACCACTCACCGCTTTCCGATCCCATCACCCGACCCACTGCGTCTTCAAACGCAGAGCCCGCCCCGGCAGAGCAGCCTTTCCTCCTCATTATTCAAATTTGTCTCTCCTCTCCTCTTCCTCCTCTCATGAACACCTCTCACCCTCCGCTCGACTTGAATTCCGACGCCGCCGGCGTCGGATGCCTGTCCGGGGTGGTGCGCCGGCTGCTCTGTGCGAGTCTTCGTAGCGATGTGCACGGAGATTGCAGCGCGGACGAAGGGGTGGGCAGCAGTAGCCTTGGCATAGAATGGATCGCCATGCAGAAGAAGAAGAAGAAGCCGCCGGCGACGCCCTGCATCGTGGCACGCCTGATGGGGCTCGACTCGATGCCGGTGTTCCCCTACACTCCTCCGGAGACGGTGACCCGCAGCCGGTCTACGAACTCGGTCGAGAGCTGGCCTGGGTTCTTGTGCAGCGAGAGGAGCAGCGGCGCGGCGCAGATCAGGACGCCGTCGTCGTTTCGTGAAGCTCCGACGTACTTGAGACAGGAGAACGATGACTTCTTGGTCATGAGCTTCACGCCTGAGGACAAAGCTCGGAGCATTATGGTCAAAGCAGGAGATTCGAGGGAGAGGAAGAAGGGTGGGAAGAACAACGGAGCGAAGAAGGATACCAGAAGGACGGAGCAGAGATCTCGAGTAGCAGGAAAGCAGATACAGAAGGAGAATGTGCCCCAGAGAAAGCACTCCAGCGGCAAGGGCTCGGTCATGTCGTCTCCAAATAAGGCCTGCCGAACCACGAAATCTGGCGGCAGCAATATAAAGCCCGCGAAACAAAAGGAAACGCCATTGACGGACGAGAGAGGTCGAAGGAAGAACAGAGCGGGTTGCAGCTCCCATCCTTCCACGGATGGCGCGTGCTCCCGCAGCTTCAACTCTCCCCGTTCAGGTAACTCCATAACTGGCTCATTATTTCCTTCAGCAAATGCAGAAGAAGAGAGGAAGCAGACATCGAAGTTGGAGAAGCTCAACTCCACGTCTCCGAGTTGTCATCCCGAGACGAGCTCAAGAGACAGAGGAACCGACTTGTCTAGTGAACCAAGCACCAAGAAATCTAGCAAGGCCGAGCGGGCGAGTCTAGAATGGAGCGAAATCTGGGAGAAGACTTGCATGCTTACAGAGGAGGATCTGAAGGACTCCACATGGACGTCAAGAGAGACTTGGAGGTCGGAAGAGGCCGGTGAAATAGGAGCAGTGGTGGCGCTGGAGATGCTTGATCTGGTCCTCATGGAGACTGTATCTCAGATGTCCAGTAATGCCACAAGATCCAAAAATGTAAATGGCATTTGACTTTGTGTCGAATCGATGGGATATATGGAAAGATCCCAAAGTCTATCGAAGAGGCCGCAAGATGATGACTCCTAAAGGAAGAATGCACCGTAAATAAAGCAATGTCTCTTATTCGATCAAATCAAAAAGGACAAATGAGGAGGAGACACGATTAAGACGAATCCTTTCGAGCATAACGTATATGTTGCATTGGCACAACAACAACAATCGAATCCAATTCACGCGTCGATCATGCAGCCTTGTGGAGATCTACGTGCGACTTGCCACAGGGGCCCAACATCCTCATGTACATCTTGTACTCCTTGAACGTCATCGGCTTGTACACCGGCGGCGAGGTAGGCGTCACCAGCTCGGCGGCGGGCTCGATGGGCAGGTCGTCGTCGGGGTTGTAGAAGAAGGCAAGGGAGAGCCGCTCCGTTGTCGCGTTCACCGTCACTCGGTGCTCGACGCTCTTGTAGGTGGCATTCGTCAACACCTGCATCATCGAGCTTCGAGATTCGTGATTCGTGATTCGTGATACGCTCTGCTGTGGTACCCGTGTATCATTATCTTGACATTTTAAATATCATTCTAATAATAATTTTTATAATATATTAAATCGATATAAAATACTAAATAAAGTACAATTCATATAAATATTTTTGAATAAAATAAAATATACTAAATCATATGGTTTGATATTCATCCTCACTCCAATTGAAGAATATAGTAATGACTTAATTATTATTTATAATAAATAAATAAACAAGTCATATTTATACTTATTTCTCTAAATTTAAGTGTAGCATATATTATTACAAAATATTATATTATGTACATATATATATATATATATTAAATCTATTAGTTTTCTTTGAGTATCAATTGAAATTCCTTATGGTATTTATATTATTTAAAATTTAGTTATGATAATATTATGACCAATCAAACCTTTTATAAATTAATCCTAATCTTATTTACTTAAGATATGAGATTAATCAAGCGATAATCTCCCTAACTCCATTTATTGATAATCTTTTTTTACTCGAATCCTTTCACCATATCCAAATATTAGGTCGGTAATGATACCAAATATTATGACCCAAATAAACTAATTAATCTATCAACTTCATTCAACCTAAATCATTAGTTAAAATAATTTTTTTTAAATAATAAAAATATGGGGCTAATCAAGAGTATTAGAGATAATAAGAATATTAAGATATCTCAAAATTTCATCTAATTTATTAAACTCAAACTAACTCATATTAACTATTATTGATTTTTTTGCAACTATATAATCCAAATTGTATACCCAACTTGACTTTTCATCATAATTTTTCTATAAAAAAACTTAATTTTTTTTATTTTTATTTATGATGAATGCTAACAAGAAGTATTATTATCGGGCGAATTATGATACTAATTGATGAGGATAGTAATTATGATAAGACTCGGCTGACGTCAGATGACGCCTCACGCAACAGCACCTGGCCAATGCAGACCGGAACGCCGACCGAGGCATATTAACATCCTGCCAAAGCTCAATTCTTCACGCTATGCCAACACAAAGTCAAACGCTACCAGCCTGCCCCTTGCAAGCGGGCAGCTCAGGAAGCAGTATGCATCCCTATAAATACCCTCTCGTTCATAAGAAGGGGGGCGGGGGCGGGGGGGGGGACAGACACACAAAAACACTTCTTCATTTGAAACCCCCTCCATATCTGCTAACTTGATTGTCGGAGGGGTCGGGGCGCTCGGCCCGACCTTTGTGCAGGAGCGAAGCCGAAGGTCCCCTCCAGATGCGCAGGCGAGGAGTTCCTGCCCGGAGGAGACGGCTACACCGTCTCGATCGGACACCGCACCCGACCGCCTCAGCGGGCTCGATGAACGCCCCAAGGAGATCCCCGTCGTCCGGACCCGAACCGAGCTGCGTCGACCCTGAGGCCACGACCCAAAGTTGTTTCCCACAATAGATTGGCGCTAGAAGGAGGGCCCGGAATGTCGGGTGACTGCCCGCTTGAGCCATGTTCCTCGGTCGTAGACAGCCCGAGTTCTGCCTCAGGACGGCCTGCTCGCCTGCGTCGTGCTCCTCGGTTGCATGTTGCCCGAGACCACACCTGCGTGGCTAGCCCGCCTGCGTCGTGCTCCTCGGCTCCTTGGCTCCTTGGCCCCATGCTTCCCGAGACACACCCGCGCGGCCAACCCGCCTGCGTCGTGCTTCTCAGCTCCTCGGCCCCTCGGCCCCATGCTCCCGAGACACACCTGCGCGGCCAACCCGCTTGTGTCGTGCTCCTTGGCTCCTCGGCCCCATGCTCCCGAGACCACACCTGCGTGGCCAGCCCGCCTGCGTCGTGCTCCTCGGCTCCTCGACCCCATGCTTCCCGAGACACACCCACGCGACCAACCCGCTTGCGTCGTGCTTCTCAGCTCCTCGGCCCCATGCTCCTGAGACACACCTGCGCGGCCAGCCCGCCTGCGTCGTGCTCATCGGCTCCTCGGCCCCATGCTCCCTGAGACCACACCTGCGCGACCAGCCCGCCTACGTCGTCCTCCTCGGCTCCATGCTCCCCGAGGTCACACCATGCGTCGGCTTGCCCTACTAAGTGTGCTCGTCGGCCGCACGCTACCTGGGTCACCACTGCACATCCGACCCTTCTTAGTTGCTAAACTCCACGATTCCCACACCTCCGGCAAGGCGCCCTGCTGGGACAGTTTCTCAAAGCCGAAGCCATGCCTCGGACCCCCCCTTTTTATGGCATGACTTCCTTCGGGGGGGAATATGATGAGGATAGTAATTATGATAAGACTCGGCTGACGTCAGATGATGCCTCACGCAACAGCACCTGGCCAATGTAGATCGGAACGCCGATCGAGGCACATTAACATCTTGCCAAGGCTCAATTCTTCACGCCACGATAACACAAAGTCAGACGCTACCAGCCTGCCCCCTGCAAGCGGGCAGCTCAAGAAGCGGTATGCTTCCTTATAAATACTCTCTCGTTCATTAGAAAGGAGGGGGGGGGGGGGCGGGACAGACACACAAAAACACTTCTTCATCTGAAACCCCCTCCACATTTGCTAACTTGATCGTCGGAGGAGTCGGGCCGAGCGCCTCGGCCAGACCTTTGTGCAGGTGCGAAGCCGAAGGTCCCCTCCGGACGCGCAGGCGAGGAGTTCCTGCCTGGAGGAGACGGTTACACCGTCCCGATCGGACACCGGACCCGATCGCCTCAGCGGGCTCGAGGAATGCCCCAGGGAGATCCCCGTCGTCCGAACTCGAACCGAGCCGTGTCGGCCCTGTGGCCACGGCTCAAAGTTATTTCCCACAACACTAATATATGAAGGGATGTATGCCAATAATATTTATATTTTAAAGAATATATGTAAATATACTATTTAAAAGAGATAGATATGTGGAAACCTTCTTTTCAATCCATGGACATACGTAGAAATTCGAGATTATTTTGACATGGGATCCGATGAAATAAATGACTCATTAATTTGTTAAACTTGAACTATAATCCGAAATATTGAAGTGATAATATATATCTACTATGATCTTGGAAGCTTACTCAATTATTCTTACAACCACGCGAAGCATATGTTTTAATATGATTAGACTGTTCGTTTATTATATTGATTGTAATCTACGCCGATCTTATCGTGACCAACTTTTCGGTGCATTAGGCACATTTCTTCCCCTTTTTGTTGGTACTTTTGAGTCACCATAAGACCAAAGGAGGAACTGTTGAATTAGTGGAAAGATGATGCTATCTATCTCTTAAAGTTGACCTAGTTTTTTGTAGCAATGAGACCGTGGAAATGCATACATACTTTTTTCCTTAAGAAAGAACAACTTTACCTATGCAAATCACATGAGAAAAAAAGGTAAAACCATTCGTCATTTCATCCTCAAACTTCATTCTTTATATACATAATAAAATGTTTTGTATCATCTACATGCCTAAGCTTTCGAACAGATTGATAATGATCAACAACTTAAACATTGTATCACGACATTAATTGATGGATCATTTGCTTTCGGGATGCTCTTATAGAATTCGAAGTTTATTGATCTTAGATGGATTGTGCAAATTAGAGAAAGTTGATTGATTAGCCACTTCAAGTAGTAGGTCACATTTTCTTTTTCTCTTTTTTATAGAAGAAATAGTCGACGTTCAAATAAAAGAATCTAATATTATCAACTCATCATCCTAATTCTTTTGGTTGCATATGACGCTTTAATCATTATAATATCTACTTAGAGGCATTTAATCTTACTCGTTATTGGCAGCTAATCCAAAATATAAATATTTCATAATTTCTAAATGCTAAATCATTAGTAGATCATAAGAAAATTACAATATTATGTTCATCATAAGATATCCTTAATGATCGATATTGACACTATCTTTCTCCTACGGCTTAGTAACATTTGCAACGTAGGCATGCACGCGAAGCAAAAAAAATTATCTGAAATGACATATTTGTCCTTTCTAAAATTTCATATATATTATATTCATAAAAAAATATGCAAAAAATATACCTAAAGGGGGCATAATAATCAGAAGATAAGCTAATCGTAAAGGGATATGTACGTAATTTAGTCGCGTATCCCATGCAGAGAGCAGAGCTATCTCGCTTACGTGACCTCATGCAGGGAGAGGAGGAGGAAGTAAGCGAACCTGGATTTGGTCGCCGATGTTGACGATGAGAGCATCAGGGATCGGCTGCACCGTGATCCAGTCGTCGCCCTTGCGCACCTGCAGCCCCTTGACGTGCTCGTCGGTGAGCAGCACGGTCATCCCACCGGGGTCGGAGTGGGGAGAGAGGCCGAGGGTGAGCTCCGGCTGCGGGCACTTGGGATAGAAGTTCACCCTCAGGCAAGCGCCAGGCTCCCCGAATCCTCTGTGAAGGAACCCTTCGTCCATTCCTAGGGTTAACGACAGCACCTCCTTTATCACCCCGCACAGCTTCACCAGTTCGTCGCCGTAGGCCTCAGTCGTCTCCCTGCTCCGATGGCATCGCTCCGTGACCTCTCGGGGATGAGGAAAGAGAAAGAGTGTGTGTGTGGGTACCTCAAGGAAGCAGGAAGTGTTGGCCATTTGTCGTAGTTCTTGATGGACTGCGGTAACAGCTGAAGGAAGAAGTAGTCGCCCCAGTCAAGAATGGCGCCCTTCTTGACCCCGAGGCGGCTGCCGTAGCCCTCGAACGAGGTGGGGGAATTGGCATACGCCTGCTTCTCCGCCATGGGAAGATGGAAGAACTGCCTCCACGCCTCCATGACCGCCGCCGTCAGCGCTGGGCTCACCCCGTGGTTCACCGCCTGGAAGAAACCCCACTCCCTGCACGCATCCGACACAGCGCGCATCGTCGCTTGCCTCTCCGCCGCGCCACCTCTAAGCCCGCCGAGGTCTACGACGGGAAGGCATTCTGTCTCACCTGCCGCCATGGCCGTGCCGGGATTCAGATTGGGACGCTCGGACGGTGGCTTGATGTACCTCTCGGGGATGGCTTCGGCATCAGCCAAGCTCTGCACCCGGACAATGGGCTCGGGCCATTCCTGTGCCACTTCCATGTCTCCTCAGAAACTACAGCAAGCTCAGTCCTCCGTTGCGGATCGCAGCGAGACATGCAGGCTGATGCTGCGTTTCTATAAGATCAGTGGAAGCATGCATCACCACAGGTAAGTTTACCTCCTGGGGGGTCGTCCAAAACCAACGTCAGTAAAGTACCATTTTCTTTTTACGGTCATGGCGTGTTAAGGGACGTAAGCTTACCAGCTGTGGCTGTTGAATTTGTGCATTAGGTGATACTGAGGCGGTAGGTGGGGAGAGTGGGGGAGATCGGGAGCCACCGAGAGAGAGAGAGTGAGAGAGACGTACCGGAAACGAAGAGCGCCACTTTTGGTCTACCGTAGGAAGTGAACGTGAAACATGGAGGAAATGACCCCAGCAGCAGCAGTAGTTTCGGTCAACTGTAAGAAGCGAACGTGAAACATGGAGGAGATGACCCCAGCAGCAGCAGTTGTTCCTCTCCTTCTCTCTCTCTCTCTCTCTCTCCCGCAGACGTGGTGAGTCGTCATAGGGAGATGTCATGCATGACGACGATACACGAGGAGGCGCATGCGGCGACGGGGAATACGTTTCTGGTTTTGCTTCTTTTACTCCGTCAATCAAGTTGTAATTATCCTCTTCCTGTTCTTGACATGCCCAAAAAATCTGTGTCGGAGAGGTAACCCATGCAAGGAGTGACATTAATGATGTTGCCCACCTTACACGAACAGAACCTGTTCAGAAGACAGGATGACACTCCTAAAATCCAAGCATTAAACTTGCATTCCAAGATCAAAAGGCAGAAAGCAGAGGCTGGTTGTTCCTAAACATTGTCTGTAGTAAGCAAGAGAATTGGGTCAAACACGAAGGTCGGTCAATTTATGACCACCATATGCATGTACTAGGCCTAATTCTAGAGTAACTATTGATGAGGGTAATAATGGCGACATGACACGCCACGACGTCAGTCGCACCTGAACGACATTCTGCCCAAAGAGGACAATAATGTCGACGCGACATGGCCGACATCACCCACTCTCAGACAACGATTTCATCGTTATCGTTATGACCCAATACACTTGGCCGAGGCAGAGGAGAACGGCGACCGAGGCACGCCCATGCCCTGTGGCAGTTCGGTTCTTCACGCAATGCCATCAGAGGTACGATCCTGCTCCTGCAGGCAGACATATCAAATAACACTAAACTTCCTTATAAATACCCCCAAATTCTAAACGATGAAGGGGGAACACCAAGATAGACAACAAACTCCACTCCGCATCTGCTAACTTGATCGTTGGAGGGGTCGGGCCGAGTGTCTCGACCCGACCTTCGTGCAGGTGCAAGGACCAAGGTCCCATCCGGACACGCAGGCGAGGAGTTCCTGCCCAGAAGAGACGGCTACACCGTCCTGATCGGACACCGCACCCAACCTCTTCGGCAGGTTCATGGAGTGCCGTACAAGATCCCATCCGAACTAAGCCGTATTGTTCCTGAGGCCACGGCATAAAGTTGTTTACACTAACAACTATGATGATGCATTCGACCAATACCTTGTCCAGGAATACCCGTTTCACGACCCGCTTTTTCTCGAACACCATGCGTGCATTGGAGCACGAAGACTAATCAATCGCAGGACCTTCCCACGGAAAGGCAAAGATTTCTGGGAGCATACGCAAAAGAGCAAGTGATGAACCTCCGATATAATTCATCGTACCTGCTTCCAACGATCCGCCGAGATGTCAGAGAAGATCTCATCCGGAGGCGGGCGGCCGGCGTTTCTGCGTTTTCGGCGCAATTTTTTCGTTACACTGATCGCGGAGATCGCTCGGGCCTCGCCTGCTTTATTTGTTGATGCGGCGTCATGGAGCGCGAGCTCACCGCGATTTCCCTCTTCGGGTCTCTTCTTCTTCGCCTCCGCTCCGCTCCAAATTCGACGCCAGCGATCTTCCCCACTCCAGTTCGGACGCGACTCTCCGGTCGACATAAGCTACGATTCGGGGCGTCGTCTCGGCGGCTCGTAACGAACCTTGGTGATGGTTCTGTCGAGTGTTATCCGCGGCTCCAGTTTCCAACCCTTTCGTGGGTCCCACGCCATTTTGAGCAACCCTTGAGGTCGTGAGTGGTCCACGTAAGATGAGAAAGCCACGGGATCAAACTGTGGTATGTTGGAGCAACAGAGGCGATATGGGCACGACAAAGTTTCTAGTAAATCGTGGCTTCCTTGAGCGACTAGGTCTACGAGTTGGGACGCTCAACGCGATTAAGTCGCGATTTCAGGTCCAACACGGGACACGACCGCTCTTCGTCCCCAGGGCCTCGAGCTGCCGCCCCCTTTCTCGGTCTTCCTCTCCTTGCTCTCTCAGACCTCACTCCTTTTCATTTCTCCCAGTTTCCTCCGTCTCTCACTGCTTCGCCCGGGCTCTCTTCATCGTTCGCAGCTCCCTCGCTCCTCTGTCCATCCGTCGCATTCCTTCTCCATCTGTCGCTGCAAGAGGTGGCTAGGGCATCTTCCTCCCTCCCTCCACCGGAGTTCCTCACACCGTTTGTTACTCGTACGGAGGTAATCCTATTCTCTGGCTCAGGTTTTAGAGTGAGTGGTTCCCCAATTTGGGCTTTAACTAGGGTTACTTCTTTTCTATCAATTAGGGTTTCGTCAGCACCGATCCTTTCACATAATAAGCTCATGATTTGATTCCAGTGGATTTGATTGAGGTCTTGACTTGGTTTTGCCTGTGCATTGGGTTTCATGTGATGTGGGCTCCGTTTATGGCATAGATTAAGGTACTACTACTACATATATATGTACAGTGGATGGGAGACGAGATGGAACAACGTATGCCTCCCAAGGAAAACACAAGCATGCCTGTCATTGTCGTACAAGATGGGAACAAAGGCGAGTTAGATTCTAGCTCAAAAGTGAATGATGTAGTTGAACCACCTTCTGCCGGAATGATATTTAATTGTATCGACGAATTGTACGAATTCTACAAAACATATGGCAACCAAGAAGGTTTTCCGGTGTTCAAAAAGTCGACCAAAAATGATAAACAAGGGAGATTGCACTTCGTCACGCTTTCATGTGGTCGTGGTGGGAAGTCGAGATGTAAACGAGAAAAGTTGGTGAATCCGAGCTTGACGATGAAGATCGAGTGTAATGCAAAGCTCAATGCAAGAGTGTATGATGATGGTGTCGTGCGAGTGACGTCTGTTTTTCTCGAGCATAACCATGAACTGAGTCCGACCAGAGCACGTTATCTTCCACGCCGGAGGAGTGTTGGTACCAGTATGAAAAGACGGCGAGAGAAAATTGATGAAGCTGGAGTTACGGTGGCAAAGACTCTTACTTCTTCTGCTGTTGAATGCGGAGGACATGAAAGTGAACCGTCCTTAGAGAAGGTTTGTCAGAACTATATTGACAACATTGACAAAAGAAGGAAACTGTGTCTTGGTGTTGGAGATGCTGGGGTGGTTTGCAACTATTTCAATAGAATGCAGGAGCAGAACTCCAATTTTTATTATTCCCTGGATTTTAATGAAGATGGTCACATCAGAAATATTTTCTGGGCAGATGAGAGGAGTCGAGCGGCCTACAAGTCATTTACTGATGTTGTCTCTTTTGATACTACCTACCTGACAAACAAATATGATCTGCCATTTGTTACTTTTGTTGGAATTAATCATCATGGTCAACCTTTGCTCTTTGGTTGTGGGCTCGTATCGGGTGAGGATACCGAAACATTTGTGTGGTTGTTCAAGCAGTGGCTTGCATGCATGTCTGGCAATGCACCAAAGGCTGTAATTACTGATCAAGATATGGCTATACATAAGGCCATCGAGATTGTCTTCCCTGAGGCTCGACACAGATGGTGTTTATGGCAAATAATGAAGAAAATTCATGGAAAATTAAGCTGTCATTCCAACAATGAACAAGTGAAAGCCACCTTGATGCAAGCTGTATATGACTCGATGAGCAAAGAAGAGTTTGATTTCAACTGGGGCCAGATGATTCAGAAGTATAGTCTTCAATCTAATGCATGGTTGAGTACATTGCATGACGACCGTCATCGTTGGGTTCCAGTTTATGTGAAAGATAGTTTTTGGGCAGGAATGTCGACAACACTGAGAAGTGAAAATGTGCATGAATTCTTTGAAGGACATGTGAACTCGAAAACCACGCTAAAACAGTTTGTGGAACGATATGATAAAGCACTAAAGACTAAAGTTGAGAAAGAATTACAAGAAGATTTGAACTCGTTGAACTGCTATTGTCCCTGCGTAAGTCACTACAATATCGAGAAACAATTTCAACAAGCATACACCAATAATAAATTTAAAGAAATTCAGGAGGAGTTTAAGGGGAAAATGTTCTGTTATGTGCATTCCATGAAAGAAGAAGATGACTTTGGTGTGTATGAGGTTATAGAAGACATGGTTGTTGAGAATGGCTTGAGTAACCAAAAGGTCTGTTTCACTGTTTATTTCAAGCAGGCAGAATTTGATGTGAGATGCAGTTGTCGTTTATTTGAGTTTCAAGGAATTTTATGTCGCCATATCATTACTTTACTCACAGTGAAAGGTGTGTATTTGGTGCCACAAAAGTACATTCTTCCAAGGTGGAGGAAGGACTTCAGAAGGGAACACACAAAAGTAAAAGTCAGCTATAATAACTGGAATTCAACTCCTGAGATGCGGCGGTATGATTTGATATCCAAAAAGTCTGCTGTGTTTGCAGATTTCGGATGCACATCCGAAGATAACACACAAATTGCATTAGATTTCATTGAACAGTTTAGGCAAAAGTTTAACATTGCTGATCCACTGAATGTGAATGGTCAACCTATTTTTTCGGTCAGCGGGAGTTGTCAACCTTATCAATGATCTGGTTTTATGCATGATGTCCAGAACATTCATATTATCAACGATCATTTTTTTTTGTATGGCCTTGTTAGTATCATGAAATGGGACATATCAAAGTTTGCTTGTTGAAAGCCACAAACAGGTTAGAAATATTTTGTATTTCATGTGGGCTTTATATTGCGAATACTCTGTTCGAGCATCTTTAAGTATTTCATTATTACAGGAGGCAAGAAATGTTATGTCAAACTTTATTAGAAGTTTAACTCTTACCATCAACCTTAATGTTCAAGAATGGTGAAGATGATGCAAGTGCTTAGGGTTAACAATTGATGAAGACATGCACATTCACTATTGTTTATTTTTCATGGAGGACTTGATGTTGATGGATGCTATGATTATAGTTGTGGATTTTGTGATTGATTTGTACTTTACCATTGTATCCCGTCATACTGTTTTTGCAGAAAGCATTTGTAGTTTTTGAAGTTCATAAATACTTAAAATTATATTCTGCCATGCTGTCTTTGCTGTAACCTGCAGGACAGGTAGGTGCAACTCGCAACACACGATGGTGCAACCTTACAGAAAAGGTATTTCAGCTCTAGTGCTCAGCTTTTTTGATGCTATCATTCCAATCTTGAGTAGCTCATTATTTAAACAAGATTAGCTCTGATTACTTCTTGAAAGCTTTATGAAAGTCTTGTTTGACAAAAGTAAAAAGCCTATGGCTATGTAACCTTATATATTGTAAATTTATGGAATGATATACTTCAAATGTGATGTGTTAGCATACATGTAAAACCATTATCCCCTACAAGATTACGAACCATGACCTGCATAGTAAAGGTAACTCTGCTACTATAACTCTAGTGCCACTAGGACTAGAAGTAGGAGTGTGAAGCTTTGCCACACTCGGGAGCCCGCTAGACCATCCATCCACATATTGGAGGGGTTTCCTTCTCTCCCTCGGCATAAGTGGTTCACCATCCTTTACTGCTTTTCCGTCTCCATCAATTTTATTTCATGTTCAGATTAGTCCATTGGTGGTCTTCCACATAACAATCTCTTCTATGGATTCTTCTATCACCATCATTACTTGTAGAGTGTTACTTTTCATCTTCAACTTCTTTTTAGTTTCATGTCACCTCTTTTCTTTTATATCCTGTAAGAATGCACTCTTCCGATGACTTGTTTCAATGAACTTCAGCAAATCTCGACCATCTGATTTACTGTTAGAACCTGTGGTACAAAGCATACATGGAAAGCCGATACATTGCACACAGTATACAGTAATCGTGATGGCTTAAATGTCGTTTGACCAGTACAACCATAGAATAAGTCACAGTGTGCTGGCTTGAATGTGAGGTGAGGCAGAGAATCTGGTCCTCAATCTCATGACATCCAGAGAGATGTAGCCTCGTTCACCAGGTGCAAAAAATTCTCATAAATCCCATTTTGTCTTACATTAAATAGAGCTGTATTCTTTCTTAGTCCAGTTTAGTCTGGTTGGATGATCTATTTATCTGTTTGATATTAATTACAACTCAGAGAATGCAGACCTTTTTTAGTAACCTGAGTAATAAATGATACCGAATGATTCAGTTAGTACTCTGAACTTAACTATTGTTGTTGTTGCTGTAGTAATAAATGATTCGGTCTGTTGTAATTATTCATTTACTGATTATGTTTACGGACTTGATATTATGAATTCTCTCCTTAAAATGATGTGAAAGTATCCTATATCTTGTGCCACAGAACTTGCAAAGTATTTTGAGAATAATGATGATGCCAGGAGCTTAACCTTTCTGCAACCTTTCTGCTACCACCGCTTATGGAGGAAGACTTTGCTCATGAAGAGCTTCACTTAGTTGTAGATGCTACCCATCACATGGAGCACATGGAGACCGATGAAATCACTTCTGGACTGCAAAAGGTTTGGGTTTCGTTATATCTTACTAACTCATTTTGTCTTTCAACTAGTGCCAGTAGAAGCCCGGAAATTTCGTTTGGCAACAGAACAATTAGCATTGTTTAATGGAACTGTTTCGGCTCATATATTTGCAATGGAGAAAACAAATAATGATGGTTATGCCATGCCAGTAATTCACTCTTAAGAACTTTTTTTCTCTAGATTTATATTTTTTTGCAGCATTAGGTTTAATAACTTAATCTCTTTTCTGAAGTTGTGCAGGCAGATCACCATCAGATGCTGATCTCGACTTAGGGTTCTCCGAAGGATATAGATTTTGACTGTTGATAACAGGATTGTGTGATCAAATCTTATATTCATCATATATTTTTATATAAAAATTAGTTTATTAATGAATCGAATAGGCTTGGATGCTGAGATCCTGATCAAAATTTTGAACAAGAGGACCCCTTAGTTTCTTTTGAATTGTGTTAAGAATACTCCCGATAAATGTATGGGGTGCAAATTCTCTCATGTATTTTGAGAGGTTAATAACATTGCTCACTGGTTAGTACAATTTATTGGGTCCACCAGTTGTTCTTCTTCTATGTGGAGACTAGACTTGTGGTCTATTTTGTGCTCAAAAGAACATGAACTATACTGTGAAAGACTGTTGTGATTTATGATTGTTGTATCGTTTGAAATGGTATGATGCATATCGGTTTGGGTGTAAGTCTGAATTCTATGAAGTACATAAAAATTTGAATTAAATAATAATTATTAATCCGATTATAGTTGACTCGCTATGATCCCTAATATTCTCACAATAACAATGATTCAGTGATCTGAACCGTGTTTGATCGCCCTGAGGTCCAAGTCATACTCTAATCTAAGCTTAGCTGTCCATCACCCTGCAGCACGTGCACCCCCACATGCCAAGAAGCCGACCCATCCTCTTCCGGTGGCTATCTCATTTAATGCTTCATCATCCAAACGGAGACGATACAGACAGATACTGCAAGAAGGCGTAAACAACTTGAGAGAGAGGAAAGGAATCATTCATTCATTTTATTTATTTTATTTAAAATATTATAATCTTATTTTTTTTCCTCCTTTTATCACTTTCAGAAATTTTTTAGGAAAACAATAAAATAAAAAAAAAAGAAAAATGGAGAGAATCCAGAATCCTCCATCATAACACACCCTACACGGATCTCAAAGGTCGACGTGGCGTCGGTGGCCGACGCAAACGTCGACTTCAATAGCCACGCCCAACTGCCATCGAGCCTGCTTTATTTGTTCGTCTCGCGCCCGCCCGAGGCCCGCCTCCCCACTTCCCGTCGGCTGCCGTCGCTCGACCTCATCGTCGGATCCCCCACGCCGATCTTCCGGCCAACCGCGATCCGGCACGTGTGCGCCGCCGCTTCCGTCTCCGTCGTCTTCTGGTGTTGCCGCCATGGCCGAGCTGGCCCAGTCCGGAATGTGCTCGCCGTGGTACGCCGCCGCTGCGGCGAACACGACGACCAAGAGCGTCCAGGCATGGCGGGCTCTGGTGAACTGGGTGGCGATCCTGTTCCGTCTCCTGCTCCAGATCCCGCGGGGAACCCCCTCGTGGGCACAGATTCTCTCCTTCGTCGGCCTCCGCCACACCCTCCTCTTCTCCCCCTCCACCGCCTCCCCGGCTTACAAACCGCTCGCCATAGATCCCCCGATCGATGGCCCGACTCCCGACACCGCCCCGGCGCCGGAGCCTCTCGGTAAGCTCACGGTACGACTCCTCCTGATCTGGATTCTAGGTTGTGAAAAAATTGCATAAAGATTGAAGTTATTGTGTTGCTTTGTTGAGATCTCTCATCGGTATGAATCTGTTATTAGATTGCAGAAAGATAAGATTGCATTATTACTGTTTGATCCCTTATTGCATGGGTATTTATCTCTCTTGGTTGTTTGGACAAACTAAGGTCACTGACTTTTTTAAGTTGGTTAGGATTTGTTGCCCAGCAGCCGCAATTAACTGATTTCATCTATGCGTTTAATTAGTCACCATGATATATTATATTACTTGAATTGCAAAAGAAGATGATAGTGCATTAAAATAAATTTATTAGTGAAAACTGAAAATAAAAGAAGAAGTGATCAGTGAGTACTCATTGATAGAGATTTTCTAGAAAAACATCTAAGCTACGAATACTAAATACTGTTCCTGACCCCCAAATTCACAAGACCTTTTCGATGTCTGCCTTCAATTTTCTTCTTGTCCCCTCTTTCATTGTGTGGATCATGGATTCACTAGCTGCATAAGGACCAGTTTCTTCGTCCATCACTTTGATGTGACCGATGCCAATTTTCTGAGTTGTTGGTCCTCTCGCTTGTGAAAGCTAGTTATTTCTGCAAGCAGCTTTTTGGATGTAAAATGAACATTAAGGATATAATGCACATAGGTTACTGGGATTCTTATACTGGCTGTCATAAGAAATTCTAGTTGTTATAGTGCATATAGGATATAAGTAAATTTTGCAACAAAGGTTGGAGTTTTCTCGGGGAAGAATTACCTACAGATGTCATTGGACTTGCAAAACCTTCTGGGACTCTTAGCTCTCCTCCAAAGGTGAGGTATATAAATTTGATCACATACATTGATACATGTGATTATGGTTGGAGATACTAAAGTTGAAGCTTTACATAGGTCTATGATGATATATGACTAATTTAGTCATACACATGATCTGATCACATTAAACCTATGCCATATTTTAGGACAATTTTGAATGTCTTTCAAGGAAAATTAGGTTTACTTGAAACCAACAATGGTGGTTAGGTGGAGAATACAAAGGTTAAGCACATTAAAACTGCAGAATATAGGACCAGGCCAAACTATATCTGCCTTAAGATCAGCAGATGTGATTGGTTAAGCGATTGGGAATCCCCAAAGTTATGTCCAATTCTTTGGTTGATGAAGATATAACCAAATTTGAACGTAGAGAAATAGTTCAAACCTATCAATCCATTATCACCATTGTCATTGTTTTAAAAAAAGGGCAGTTCAGTGCACAAGGCTCCTGCCAACATGGGGTCCAGGTAGAGTCAACTATGCAGCTTTTCATTACTCAAACCCTTGTCACCTACATCATAAAGGAGCAACCAATTGTGAAACCAAACTTCATCCTCATCAAGGGTAATCCATTAATATCCTAAAAAGGTTGTTACTATAAACAAGAGTGCTAACAAAAAATAGTGTATTAGAAAGTATGCGGAGGTTATAACGAAGGAGTGGGAAGGCTTGCATAGGATTTACATCAGCTGAGGTAAATGTTTACTAAGGTGTGGGCAAGATATACCAAGATAAGAACTCTTTGATAACAAAGATATTCTTAATTGGATAACTAAAGTTATATATTGTATCAAAGATATTCTAAATATCAATTTAGTTATGAGAAAGCTATAGATAGCACCAGGTACTGTAGGAATATTTGACTAGCTAATGTTCACAAGTCCAATGATAATAGTTTGAAAAAGGCTTGGCAGTTATAGTTGTGGCAGGGATGCACTTGGTAATTATAATTAAGATTTCATCAACAGGCCCTCCTTAAACTTACAAAAATTACTATGATTTTGCAGATTAGCTTGATATTGATGCTAGTATACTGTTATAGTTTTGTAACTTAGGGTATTGTTTTGCATATTGATACATTGGTTACCAAACTGGGACGAAGCACTTTCCTGTTTATTGAACTAGCATTTCAAGCAGTTTTTAAGTCCTGAATCAAATAGAATTTGGCTAGTGAGCTACATAAACTTAAGGATTCCTGAATCAAATAAATTCTTTTCTTTGCTAGAAAGCTACATAAACTTCACAATGTCCTTTGAATCCTGCTTGCATTACTGCTTCTGTGTGGATCTTGCTTTTATTATTGCTGCTGTGTGTTTCCTTGTTATCTTCTTTCATAACCAATCATGATACTGTGGACTCCACTGTCCACCGATTGCATTCAGGTTAAATTTAATTTGAACTATTACTTTGAGCACTATAAGACCTTTTTGTTTTCTGTGGTTCTTCTTTCTTTCATTTACACTGCAAAAGATGAAAACACTGGGACCCATAAAAAATAAATGAAAAGCATGTCTAAGGTAGCTTTTAGTTGTTTAACAAAAGAGTGCTTCGTTATTCAAAGTGACTTGAGTGCTTGTATTTTGCAAAAGTACTAATAGCTCGTTTTTAACTTTATTATAGATGGCTCAAAATTCATTGTTGCAATATTCCAACTGTCCATGAAACTACTTTTGCAGATTTTGACTATGAGGTTTTGAATTGACAAAATGTAACAAACTCATGGGTATGGACCAAAATGGACTATCGTAACACCGACCGCTAAATGCTTTCACTTGATTTTTCAATAATGTTCACACGAATTTTCCTAATAAAATTCATGGTTTCAAGACAACACAATACTGTAGAAGTTATTGCTTATGGAGTTATTGTTTATTGCTTTGTTGTGAGTGTGTCTGATTCAAGGTCAAGTTTGAAAAATTTGCAGGTTGTGCTTGACTTGGATGAGACTTTAGTTTGTGCATACGAGACATCCAGCCTTCCATCTACAGTTCATTCGCAGGCTATTGAAGCAGGTGTAAAGTGCTTTGACCTGGAATGTGTATCTTCAGAAAATGTCGGTCACTAGCAATCAGGTAATTTGTACATAATCTTAAGCTGCAGGGGTATTTATTTGGAGTTATGTTTCTAAAGGATGCTGATGGAAGACAAAAGGCGAATCATGTCACTGTTTTTGAACGTCCTGGTTTGCGGGAATTCCTAAAACAGAGCAGTGAATTTGCAGACCTTGTTCTTTTCACTGCTGGTCTTGAAGGTTGTTGTCATTTACCTATGATAAGCTATTCTGTTATTGCTAGCTGTCTTTCTATGTTCTGCTTATTCCTCCATAAATCATTCTTTGTTCTGCTTATTCGTCCATAAATCATTCTTTCTTCTTTCTTCTGTTTCAGGTTATGCTAGTCCAGTTATTGATAGGATAGATGTTGACAATAAATTAATTCATCGTCTATACAGGCCTGCAACTGTGAGCACGTAAGCAAAAGTTATTGCGACTTCAATAGCTCTTCGGTTCAGTTTTAACATTTTCTTTTTAAAAAGTGATGACAGAAGTCTTTACCAGCTTACAACTGTCTGTGCTTTTCATTATCGCAGAGTTCTTAAACATCCAAGTTGCTATTAACATAGATTCTACTAAATTCTCTACCTCCAAATACTAACAAGTGCACTCGTGATTAAGTTCATGCTTTTTTTTAATAATTTGAGCAGTTGCTCGTGATTATATTACAAACATTGTTGGTTATGACCAATATCATGGCCAACTGTGGCTGTTCACCTTTGATGCTGCCGGGTACCCTTTCAGGTAGTTTGTTTTCCTCAAAAAACATATCAAGAGATTGTCCTTTGGTTCAAATGTGTTGCTTTTGCAGTGGTTAAATCCTGTTAGGTGCGAACCGAAACGAAGAATGCTAATTTATCATAAAAATTAAAATTCTGATGATTTACTCCAAATATAAATTTATCTTTATTTAAATTGTCTTTTCATAATTTTTTATTGAAATTGTCTTTTCAATTCATATTATTGTAGTGTTAGATGGAAGGCTATTTAGAACTTTCTTTACTTGCTTGTATGCCATACAATTACTCGAGTGACATTTCAAGAAAATGTATATTGTACGCAAAGTTTAAATTCATGTATGGACACACATGCGGATGTGCATATTTTAATGCATTCAAGTTGATTCTATGGATCAGGGAATATCGGGAACATGTCAAAGATCTTTCTTGTGTATCAAAAGATCTCTCCCGCACCGTCATTGTTGACAACAATCCATATAGTTTCTTGCTGCAACCATTAAATGGAATACCATGCATGCCATTCTTTGCTGCACAGCCTTGCGACGAGCAGGTAATAATAATAGGATATTCTGCTTTCTTGTTTGGTCAATTATATGCTTTGTACAACTATACATGATCTAATTTTCATTTTATTTGTTTCCAGCTGATGGGAGTCATTCTTCCACTTCTAAAGCACCTCTCTCTCCAGAAGGATGTCAGGTCGGTCCTCTATGAGAAGTTTCACATGCCTGAATGGTTTGAACAGCAAGGAATCCCCACTGTAAAATCTACTCCCTGAGATATGCTTACAATCTCTTTTTATCAGAGACTCTCGGTAATTTAGATATTGCAAATCTACTAATAAAATGTGGATATGGTGCGATGAATCAGCATTAGAAATTGATTCTCGGATAAGATTAATCTGCTTAGGAAATTGTTTATTAATATTTGTTTGGTTGTTGGAAATGTACACTGAAGAAATTGGATTGTCTCGAAAAGGGGGTATGGTTTATCTACAGCAATGCTATACCAATGTATCATCCATGATCTCTACTTTTGTTAAGTGGGAGAGAAGCTTATTTTTATTTTGGGATAGTGACCAAAAGGAGCCATATCTTCCCCCCACATCCGTCTCCCTTTTCTCTCGCCCACCGATAAAATCACATCACATTCGGTCACCCACAGCATCTATTTTTCTCAACCCGACAAAGAATATTATTTCCTCTTTTTTTTATTGTTTCGTTCTGTTTCTTTAGATCTGATTTCCTGACAACCCCTCTAACATATTCCCTTTTTCTAATTAGCCCAACGCAGTTAAAACATAAAACTACAACTAAAGCGCCCTTCCTCCAAAGAAGAGGAGGCGATGAAGGCCCGCACGGAGGGGGAGGGGAGCTTCCGCCCTTCCCCGATCCCGCCCTCGTATGCCCGCGCCGCACGTGCCTCGAGGCTCTCGGGCGCACGGACGCACGCGTGGGGTTGGGGCGGGCGGCACGACGTGGGGGGCTCGCTCGCTAGCTTCCCTGTCGCCTTGTGGGCGGTTGACCGGAGCGCCATCGCTTCCCCGCAGCGAAGAATCTCGAAGCCGGAGTTGAGTTCCCGAAACGGCCCCCTTCTCTTCTCCCCCGCTCCCGAGCGATGTATCGGGTAGGATCGTGGTTTCGGGAAAGTTGGGAGGCAGTTAAGGAAAGAAAAAAGAGAATGGAGTCAGCTTGATGGCGAGGGAAGGAAAGCTTGGCGGGGAGGGGGATTAATCAGCTAAAAGATTTGGTACTATTTTTTTAGCGGACGTGACGGGGGATTGAATTCGAGTTAAGGAGCATTGAAATCCAGGCTGTGGCGCTCTCATTTATCGGCTCTCTGCCTCTCTCTCTCTCTCTCTCTCTCTCTATCTCTCTCTTCCGCAGCTTTGTTTACCCAGCCATCCACCCGCCGACGAAAGAGGATAGGGTCGAGACCTCCGGCGAAGGCCAGCGGGCGGCGGCAGCGGTTCCTTTGCCTTGTTCACAGAAAGGTCGCCCTTTTGCCTTCTTCTCCTGCTTGGTTTTCCTCCACCGACAACTGGGGAAACCCTAATTCGTGGCGAGCTTGGAGCTGCCCGCCGGCGGAGACCGTTGGGAATAGATTGGCCGAGATCCGAGGCAGGCCTTTGGCTTAACGGAGGCTTCCTCGGATTCGTGGCGCCGCTTTGTTCACGTTGTGGTCTTAGAGGGTTAGATGCCCTTTGGAGCTGGGAAGGTTGATGCCTCCCGAGCCATTACCTTGGGATCGGAAGGAGTACGCCTTCAAGGACCAGAGGAAGCACGAAAGAGGGGATGCCCTAGGCGGCGGCGGTGGCGGCGGCTCCTCGTCTGCTTCGCGGTGGAAGGACCCCTACCATGGTGGTCCCCGTGATTTGCTCCGTGCCTCTCCTCGACGACCCTTCTCAAGTAATCAAGCCCGCTTCCTTCCAGATCTGAGATGTTCAAACCTGTTTACTCGCAGTTTTTCTTCGTCGCCCTCTTCTTCTCGTTCTAATTCTGAAAGGTTCTTTTTATGAAGGTCATTGCCGGCAGGGCGGTGGTTACCACCAGGTTCACCCGGACGATTCCGTCGGACATGGGTGCACACCTTCGCGGTCTGACAGATTTTGGTCCGAGGACGATGGCTATAGGCCCGCTTCTGTCAGACATGGTGGCTGCTACCGCACCAGCAGCAGTGGAAGCAGTAGGGAGAACCGGGGATCGTTCAGACGATCCCCATGTTGGGATTCTGGTGACTTCTCGAGGCAGCACCGTCATGATCCTCATGCGACCGCTTTGAGGTCAGTCGCAGCTCCGATCTCTTCCACATCTCAAATCCCCCTGAAAGAACAGAATGATAAGACTGGTGGTGTCGATGATGGCTTGGGCACAGGCCACATATTCGATCATCGAGACCATTCGTTGGGTTCCATACCCTGGAAGAAGTGGAGCCGCCCTGGTAGTCTAGGCTTTACGAAGACAAGCAGATCTGAGTCAGAGGAGGCATGCCTGGAGGGGGTGTTGCCCTCGGGAAAGGAAAACCCAATCCAGTCTCTGGTAACTCTTACTCTCCCTCCTGATGAAGTTGCTCCGAGGAAAAAGCCCCGACTTGGATGGGGCCAGGGGCTGGCTAAGTATGAGAAACAAAAGGTAGAAGGATCTGTAGAAACTTCTGTTGGTGGTAGCAAGGGGTCTTTAAGTGATGACAGCCAAAAAGTTACTAGTATCTCTGGATGCCTGTCACCCACAACTCCATGCTCTGCTACTTGCAGTTCATCACCAGGTGAGCTGAGACCATTCTTGCTATCTTTGTTGTGTTTGTTTCTCATATTGGTATGAGTCTATGGTTGTGTCTGTAAAATTATCTTAGTTGCTTGGGAATTACCACACATGTTCTGGCAATAGAGATTTCTGCTATTTTCAATTTTCTGAATTATGTATCTTATATGTACTTTTGAGCCTTCATAGCCATCAACCTTTGATTAGGCAGTATTCAATAATTCTAAGGGGTCAAATTTTTTTGGCATGCATACCTCTTAATCTGGCTTGATCAGTTTCCTGTTCATGTAGTTATGTGATGGTACCTTGTTCACATTCCTTCATGTTTGATACAAATTTATTTTCATCTCCTTCAGATCACTTCGGAGTCAGTACCTTGTTGCTCAATGTATTTATTATATGCTATAGTGTGGGTTCATTCATTGTTCTTTAAGTCTTGTCTTGGTGGTTGATAGGAAACTGTAGCCCTTAGATATATGAAATACAGTATTCGGAGGTTTTGGGTAGTGGTGTTCGAATGCTATGTCTTAGTCTGCTATTTTCCTTGGCTATTGGTGTGTTCTTAAATTTTTTGTGAGCTTTTTAAAAATACAATGACACAGCAGTATATATGCTTTAAATTTTGTGCCTAAAAACTTAAATATCTGGAGAAGTTTTGTTTTCACTAACGTTCTTCTCATAACTTATCATTGATGACATCATCGGTAATCGCTCCTTTCATGCTAGTATTATTGTTTATGATACTTTCATGTTTCTGTTACTTGCTGATTCAGTTCCTTTCATAATATAACTTGTCCCATTCATTGGGATTTTCATTGTAAAGAACTCTAATGATTAAGCAGAAAGTTCCTAGACTTAAAGCCAGAGCTATCAGTTTTCACTCAGATATAATGGTTTGAATTTGGTATTTTATGGCAGGCACAGAAGATAAGCTTTGCAGCAGGACTGTGAATGATTATGATGGTATGAATCAAAACAGTGATTTACCTGGATCCGCATTTCTATCTTTCTGTGAAGAAATTTCTAATAATTTGGACCATTTGGAAGCCAATCCCATCAGATCCCTAGATTCTCTGCTCACTGACTTGTTTCAATCTGTGGATGCCTTCTCTGGTGATTCCACTTTCTCAAGGGATTCTGCTTTGAACAAATTATTGAAACTGAAGGGGAGTATTTCTAACGGATTGGAAAAGATCGAATGTGAAATTGATTTGTTGGAAAAAGAGCTCAAGTCACTGAATTGTGATACTAAAACTGATTCTTACCAAAGTTCCGTCAAGTTAGCTAATGATTCTGCTTTGGAAGCTTGCATACAGCCATTGGCTGGTTTATCAGATGAATCTAACCCTTCAAAGGATCAAAAGGTAGAAACTATTGAAGTGGCATTTGTTGAAGAGCATGTGCCCTGCGGTAGTCTCGTCAAACATGACACTGTAATTAAAGACATTTATATTATTAATCCAGAAACATTATCGTCTAAATTTCACTTAGCCATTGAGAAATTGTCTGAAAGCCCCTTGCTGATCAAGGATGAAAAATTGAAGGTTACTGAATTGCAGCAGATTGTCGACTCAGATTGTGGGGAGAGGATAATGGTTGCATCTGAAGATGGGAATAGAAATTGTGGAGATGGAGACTGTAGCAGTGTTCATGTAAGCTTTGATGAGGCCACGCAAGGAAAGGACTCTAATTTAATAACTTCAATTATAGATTCTAATATGAATGCTGCCAAATGTGCCTCGAAGGTGTTCGGCACAGCTTTTTCAACAAATCCCCTCCTGTCAGATATCTGGGGATTGGTTAACTTCACATCATGCCGGAAGAATGACCTTAAAATCAAAGAAAAACTTGCTACTCGTAAGTGCCAACTAAGATTCAAAGAAAGAGTCCTTATTCTTAAATTCAAGGCACTGCACCACTTATGGAAGGAGGATTTGCGGTTACTGTCCATCAAGAAAGTTCGCACAAAGTCAAGCAAACGTTTTGAACTTATGAGCCGCTCATCGCAAAATGGTTCTCAAAAGCAACGTTCTTCAACCCGGTCACGGTTTGCATCACCCGGTTAGTCTTAAACTTGTTTTTTTTTTCTATGATATATTTTGCTTTCTGATATCTGGATATCTTGTTTGTCCATTATGTTTCAGTGCTTCCCTTTCTACCTTTAATTGTGCCTATGTGCATTATGGTTTTGATATAGTTATATGTAACTCAAATTATCCAAACAATCAGTAAGCAATTAATATGAAAAATTTTGTGCTGCATGTTATCCTTATTTGCACATTTCTTGTGATGCCACTCTGAAAACCCTGGGGAAGTTGCTCAATGTGTAACTGGCCATTTTATGCGTGATGAAGTTCATCGGCTATTGTACATTGGATTTCGACGTTTTTGCAACTACTTTCCATTTTATATCGCATAGATGTTGGTTGCTAATAGGATGGTCCTAGCTTTAGGCCTCTAGAGATCATGGATCATCACCACAAGATGCTTAGGGTTCTTGGACATTTTTCCATAATATATTACAATTATTTTGAATATAATCTTAGCTAATTGTCGACGTCATTAATTGCATAACATTGATTTTTGAGCAATCCTAAATATTTAAGCTGGATTATGTTGAAATGATCTGTGGTTGAATCAGTTTTAGAACTGGCTGGAACTAGATA